TTTGTGGAACTGGGGATAGCCTCCCTAGTGCTGGGATTGCAGGTGTACACCACCACACCCAGTTTCAGTGGCCAGCTCAGTACGCACATAGCATGCAGTGCCAGGGATTGAACCTGGGTCCTTGCACTTGCCAGGCAGGCACTTAGACCACTGAGCTATCTCCCTGGCTGCTGACCTTTATAGGTATGTTTTCTTCGTTTTTCTCAGATATAAAGATCATACTGAGGGCTTTAGTGAGGCTTCTGCCCAGGGAGCAAGCACATGGTTTGGGTGTGCGCAGTCCTGGAACCAGAGGACTGGCGCTGTGGTGGAGCTGCTGCTTTCAAGCGTGCTGGCCTGGAAGGAGCCCTGCAGAGTCTGGATGCCAGCAGCCGTCCCAAAACGATGGGCTGGGGACTGTGTTGGCCGGAGCAGAAATACCTGACTTAGGCCTCTTGCGGGTGGGTGGGGTGGATTTCAGAGCTGCAGATAGAACAGACAAGGAGTGGGTGGCCACAGGGAAGAGGGCAGGCAGGGTGGGGGATTCTGTGCTGCAGAAAACTGTTCTCTGATGACTGTAGGAAGCATGTGGGACCCAGGCAAGAAAGGACTTCTCTGCTCTTCCAGGTAATAAAGGAACTGAAAGAAATGGCTTAGTTGGGACTAGAGCCTGGAAGTGTGGAAATACAAAGACCCAAGGAGCTCTGCTTCTAGAGAATTCCGTTCTTCTCGTTGTGAGGTTCAGAACATATCGAAAAAAGCATTCATCCAGTGCCATCAGACAAAAAAAAGAAGCAGGGCATGGTGGCACATACTTGTGATTCCAGCATTTGGAAGGCCGAGTCACCAAGAGTTCAAGGCTAGCCTACACTACCTAGTGAGACCATGTCTCAAAAAAAAGTAATGAATTCAGCTGTAGTACCGTAAGCTAATCCCAGACAGGTCCCAAATGGAATCTTCCCAGTGCCAGAGGTGTGCGCAGTGGGAGTGAACCGTCTTCCAAGCTTGGATCTGCATTTTAGAAATCAGAGACACAAGAGATTGACTTCTGTGATGCACCAGAGTGAGGAGGCGTTACTCAGACCAGACACCTTTTTAGTTGTTCTTGAACCATAAACTGATTGTACTGATTCACAGTTGTATCCGCGCTCCACTGCTGGGACAGGGTGCCTGAAACACCAGCCAAAGGGGAACGGCTTTGTTTTGGTGTGAGGTTTCAGGCCAGGGCCCTGACTGTAGTAGGGCTGGCCAAGAAAGATGCTTGCCCGACCCCCACTCCCTGGGAGTGGAACCAGGGAAGGGCCAGCTGTGGCCCTCAAGCTGTACCCCAAAGCTGCCAGTCCCCTCAGAGGTGCTCTCAGAAGTGTGCTGGCCCTGCATGTCTGAGGTCAGTCGCCTTGGCAGGACTAACCAAAGATTGAAAAGTTCTAAGTAATCTTTTTATTTGTATCATTTGTGTTTATAGTATACTTGTTTCATTAAGTGATTTTTATAGATTTTTGAATACTTCCAGTATTCAGTAATTTATGGTACATTATACTTGTTTTGAAGAAATTTCGTAAAGTTTTATAGATAGGAAGTTTGGAGGATTACATGTGTCTGCTAACCCATAACCTTTACTTGTGGAGAAAGTTGAGACACTGAGAGAATACATGTATCTGTGGCACTTCTGGGAAGTTTGCCGTAACTCTCCTGGGCTTTCTCTCTCCACTGATTTTGGCTTTCTGTTCTTTTACATCAGTGATCACATGGAAAACGTGTATGGCTACTTAATGAAGTACACCAACCTTGTCACCGGGTGGCAGTACAGGTAAGTGTGTGACACGCTGGGAAACTTACTAAAGACAGGCTGTGCCCTCTTTGCTGTTTCTTAGAGGCGCTGGTGGGGCGGCCCTGGCTGCCTCGCCTGTGCCATTGCAGTGAGGCTCTCTCTGGCCTTCTGTCGCACACCCAGAGAGGTCAGAGAAAGCCGGCATGTGCGCTGGATTCTCAAAGCGTGTCTGGTACCTGGGAGAGGTTAGATAAACAACCTCAGGTCATGCAGTCAGTAAGTAAGGAGCCAGATCTCCAAGCTTAGTGGAAGTGATGTTTGTGTGGCAGAGGTATTAAACTTTTTATTGTGATAAAATGCCCATCAGATTTGCCATTATAACCATTCTAAGCATATAGCTCCATTTGATTAACTGCATGCATATTTGGTATAACAGTCCCCAACATCCATCTCTGAAACATTTTCATCTTCTCAAAGGGATGCTACTCACCTCTCTCTCCCTCCCTTCATTCTTCCCTCCCCCCTCTTTGTCTCTCTGTCTCTGTCTCTCTGTCTCTGTCTGTCTGTCTCTCTCTCTCCCTTCCCCCCCCCCCCCCTCTCAGTTCCCTCTCCTGGGCCCTCGCTCCTGTCCTCTTCTCCTGCATAAGCTTCTGTCTTCCCCCCCTCCCCCCCCCCATCCCTGGCATGTACTCTTCTGCTTGAGTGTCTGGCATCTGCCATCAGGGACTGAGTGGTTTATCTGTGTTCCAGAGTTTTCCTTCTTAAGCCCGAGCGCATTCCAGCGCATGCGCACCCTCCGGTTTGAGCATCTGTGCTGGGCTGTTCAGGTGCTCCCCCTCTGGCTGCTGTGCTAAGGCTGTTGCGATGTTGGCATGTCAGTATGTGTTCAGTCTCTGCTTTCTTTTTTGCCTGTCCCCAGAACTGAGCCACTGTGGCCTATAGTACAGTATTGAGGTTCTCTTTTGTTGATTACTGCTACTACTGAGCAGTCTTGCTCTGTCGCCTAGGCTGGCTGTGGACTTCTGGGCTCAAGGCATCTTCCTGCTTCTCTTTCTTTTCTTTTTTTTTTTTTTCTTCTTTCTTTTAGGGAATCCTGTACTGTTTTCCTGAGCAGCTGTGCCACTAGACACCCTCCCCAGCAACATACAAGTTGCCATTTCACCACGTCTGTAGCAGCCATTTGCCATGTTTTTCTTTTGTTATTTTACAATGATAGCTGTCCTCACAGTGTAATGTGCCCTCTTATTGTGCTTTTTAAACATTCTTAATTGTTAAACCAAAACTTTGTGGTTGTTGTGGTTGTTGTTGTTGTTTTGGCGGAACCGGGAATTGAACTCAGACCCTTGCACTTGCTGGGGATGTGCTTATTCCACTGAGCCATCTCCCCAGCCCCTAAACCAAGACTTTGAAGCTGAGTGTGGTCACACACACCTGTAATCCCATCATTCAGGAGGCTGAGCCAGCAGGATCACAAGTTCAAGGCTATCCTGGGCTACACAATTTGAGGCCAGCCTGGACTGTGTGGTAAGACCCTGATACAGACTTTGAACCAAATAATTTTTTTTCCAAACCCAAATAATTCTGACTCCAAAGTCTGTTCCTATTACTGTTATTTTATACTGGATACTAACCCAGGGCCTCGTGCATACTAGGTAAGCACTATAGGTAGCCCTTTGGCAATAATCAAACCCAGAGCACACTGAGCTTCATCCCCAGCCCCCCCCCCTTTTTTTTTTTTTTTTTTTTTTTGCGGAACCAGGGATTGAACTCAGGCCCTTGCGCTTGCCAGGGAAGCACTTATTCCACTGAGCCATCTCCCCTGCCCCGCCAGCCCTTTTTATTTATTGGTTTATATATTTTGAGACAAAGTCTCACTGAATTGTTAAATTGCCCAGGCTGGCTTCAAAGTTGAGGTTCTCCTGCCTTGGCCCCCTGAGTAGTTGGGTCACAGGGGGAGCTGCTGCACCTGCTCCCAAGTCTGTGTAGGCAAACTATTTTACAAGGCTGGGTTTTCTGTGTCCTGCTGTTTTAAATTCTAAAACACATCATTTGGCAACTTCTACTCTTGGCCATGATGCCATAACAGAAAGTGAGCTGGCCTTCCTGCCTCAAGTGACTGGAAAATAGCAGTGATCCATGAAGGAGTGACTGTCAGGCCGTGCGGTGCGTGCCACTGAGCTACAGCCCCACCCCAGGAGGAGCGATTTTCAGACACGTGTGTGTGTGTGTGTGTGTGTGTGTGTGTGTGTGTGTGTGAAGGGGTTGAGACAGGGTCTCACTCTGCAGTTCAGGCTAGACTTGAACTTACTAAGTAGCGCAAGCTGGTCTCCAACTCTGAGTGATCCTTCCTCCTGAGCGCCAGGTTTATAAGTGTGTGCCACCACATCCAGCAGCTTCTCATTTTTATTTAAAAACTAACAATGTCATGTAAAGGAAATCTTTTTACTTTATGTTTCTGCTTCAGTTTTTATGTAAATTTTTGAATACTTACATGTTCAAATGATATACAAAATATTAATTTGTAAGAATTTTGCTGGGGGGCCAGGGAGGTGGCTCAGTGGAATAAGTGCTTCCCTGGCAAGTGCAAGGGCCTGAGTTCAATCCCTGGTTCCGCAAAAAAAAAGAATTTTGCTGGGTGTAATGGCCTGCACTCCAGTGTCAGGAGGCAGAGGCAAGAAGAGTACAAGCTTGAGAGAAGCCTGAGCTCCATGGTAAGACCCTGTCCAAGAAAAGAAAGTCCTTTCATGTTGCTTTTTCCTGAACCCTCGGCTTTGTTCTCCTTACAACCTATTCACCCAGAAGGATGAGGTATTAAGGAAGCCTCACCCTGGGGCAGAGTAAGAGAGCCCGAAGCAGGGAAGACCTGGGCTGTGTAAAAAGTGCTGTCTCCAGAGGCCGGCGAGGGCCGGCTGAGCCAGCCAGAGGCCAGGCCTTGTGGCACACACCTGTCATCCCAGCACTGGGGAGGCTGAAAGCAGGAGAATCCCCACTAGTCCAAGCTGCATAGTGAGACCCTGTAACATCCAAATACATTTTTTTAAAAAAGGGAAAAAAAGTACTGTCTCCAGCCAGTAGCCACTTGAGCCATGTGTGCAAGGGGCAGGTGCAATGTCACCACCCAGGAAACCTTGGTCCTCTCACTGCCTGCCTCTCCAAGCTGTGCACCTCAAGGTTAGTGATGGGGACAGTCAGAACAGAGCACACAAGGGCTTTTTCATCCAAACCACTGGCTATGGTTCACTTTTGCCATCTTGAGACACACTTCCAAGTCAGGGTAAAGTTGGATTTGCAACACTTGAGTTGGGGGCTTATCTCAAAAGATGAGTTATTTCTCCCAGCTGGCAGTCTTCATGATTTCCCAGTTGCAAACAAAGGCAAAAGGCCGGGCATGGTGGCACAGGCTTGTAATCCCAGCACTTGGGGAGACTGAGGCAGGAGGATCATTGGGACTTGAGACCAGCCTGGGCTGCAAAGTAAGCTCAAAGCCACCCTGACCTGCATAATAAGACCCTGTCTCAAAAAGGGAGGGAGGGAGGGAGGTGGGGGGAGAGAGGGATGTTGAGCAGCCCACTTGGTAGAGCTACAGATAGGTCCATAAGCACATGAAAATATGTGTAACCCCACTAGTAATTAATGAAATTGAAGTTTTTAAATGCTCAAAAATTTTTAATTTATATTTTCATCAAATATGTGAACAATTTTAGGACTCAGAAGCCTGCTAAAAACTCTTAGTGCTTTGATCTTAACCCCTCCTCTTCTCCCCAGCGCCTTCGCTGCCTGAGTCAAAGGCACAGACCGTGCTCTAGGATCCTGACCGGGTCGCCCTCTTTACGGGTGTGCGCAGAGCAGGCCGGGTGCAGGAGCCGAACCTCTCCACACCCACACGAGAATTTCTGAAAATGTGAAACTTTGAGAAAGCACCACCCCCCATCCCTGGACTGTTGTGCTTCTTAAATTGGGATTTGAATTCATTTAGCTCCTAAAGTAGTTCATCTAGGACCAAATCAGAACATCAGATTCTTTTCCAGAGTCCATCAGTATTTCATCAAATTCTTTTCCAAAGTGTATCAGTATTTCATCATTTCGTTTCAAGTTCCTTGTTTTTAAGTCTCCAGTTGCAGCCTTTTCATTTTTAAACAGGATCAGTCGTCTTTAGTTGTGACCTATTTAATGATAGATTCACAAAATCTTTCTGCCCTGACAATATTCTCATGTATGTTTCACTGTTTAAATCCTAGACCACAGCCATTTCTTACCCAGCCTTGAGTTAGCCTCAGAGTTCATATTTCGATTTTTTTCCCTAAAAAATCTTAAATAAATGTTCTCACCACCATTTGTCTTTCTGCAGTTTGTCCTCCCTGTTGATGAATTGCAGAGAAAAGCTGTCATCTGAGTGAATGTTACATCACAGGGATTGGTGGCACACTGCTGTGAGCTCAGCATTCAAGAGGCTGAGACAGGAGGATCACTAAGTTCTAGGCCAGTCTGAACTATACATAGCGAGATGCTGTCTCAAAAAAGAAAAAGAAAAAAAAAAAAAGTAAAGGGAGGGAAAAAGAGAGGAAGGGAGGAGGAAGACTACTGCATTGCTTCCTCTTATGCCTTCGTGCCTCCTCCTACCCAAGTGCTTCTCCTTGGGCCAGGATTGCGGTGGTCCGGCCTTATCTCGCGCACAGGCCCTGGTTTGTTTGCTGCACTGCAAGCTAACTTGAAAGCACTTCTTCCACACCTGTTAACTTTGTGTATTAATTTTTCAGTGATTTTTCCTGCTAGGAAATTGAGGATAGTGTTTCTAACTACCACTACTTGAAATGCTTTTTGAAATTTTATATATATATTTTTTTTTTTTTTTTTTTTTTTTTTTTTTTTGTACCAGTAATCAAACGCAGGACCTTGAACTTGCCAAGCAGGCACTGTGCCACTGAGCTATATCCCTAGCTGGAATTTTACTTTCTTAATAAGAAAAATCCATTGTTTTTAAAGCAGTGACCATTTCTTTTGCCTTCGTTTGTCTGGGTACATGTTTAAAAGTCACACTCTCGTGCAATCATGGCAGGTTTTTTGTGCTGAACAACGAAGCCGGGCTGCTAGAGTACTTCGTGAATGAGCAATCCCGGAACCAGAAACCCCGCGGCACCCTACAGTTGGCGGGCGCCGTCATCTCACCCAGCGATGAGGACTCGCATACCTTCACGGTGAATGCGGCCAGCGGGGAGCAGTATAAACTACGAGGTAGGCAGGAAGCAGGCTGGGGGGACCCAGCAGCTCTGGGACTGGGAACCACCACCCATGGCCACATGCGGTGGACACTCGGGCTCCCAGGGGCCACATGGAATGGAGAGGAGCTGTTCTCCAGCTGTGTGCATAGGAAGTACAAAATACAGGTGATGGAGAGGAGCAACAGAACTGCCTTTCCTTCTCAGCAGTTTTTATTATAGCGTTCAAAAAAGAGGCCACAGGGCCGTCCAGTGGACACACCTGTGAGACTGACGAGCTCGCCCGCAGCCACTCTTCTAAGCAGGCCTCTGACCGGCCCTGTGGAGGGTTGCACCATCTGATGTCACGCTGTGGATGAATCCATGGCTGCCGAGGACTCCAAAGGCACAGACCTCTTGAAGTCATGTTTCCATATCTGTGGGAGATATTTTCGCCCTTTTATTTGACTTCGTTTCTATTCCCTCTTTGCAGTTTTCAGTGACTAACGTATGTAGTTGGGATTTGTTAAAATGCCCATATAACTTTATGAGGAAGCATTGAATTGTGTAGAAGTTTGTGATTTCCATCGAAGAAACAGCATAAAGTGGAATGATAATCCTAGTTAGCTCTGGTGCTCTGATCTGGAATTATCTGTGATACCACACTCTAACCCTTAAAGCTATTTCTGTAAATGAATGCTGTCACAATGGAGAGCTGAAGGTCCTCACCTCACAGTGTGACCCGTCTTCCCTGTGAAATCTCGTGCCTTGCTCCGCATCCCCAGCAAGGCAAGTGCCGTGGCCTCCACCCACTGCACTGCATGGAGGGCACTGGCCCTCGCAAGAGGGACCGGGCTTTGCTTTCCAGCCATCTGCTGTCCGTGCTGTACATGGCTGGTTGCACTCGGGGGTCACGATGAACAGTGTGTGCTTCTTTTCAGCCACAGATGCCAAGGAGAGGCAGCACTGGGTCAGCCGGCTCCAGATCTGCACGCAGCACCACACTGAAGCCATTGGAAAGGTAGGCAGGAACAGTGTCAGTGCCCGGGGAAGAGCGGTTCTCAGGTTTGGACTGGGGCACTCTTCCTGTGTGTAGCACGCTTGCAAAGCACAGCATCTCACATGTTTGTATATTCCCAAGGTTGTGCACTTGCGGCAGCCTCCCAATTCCAGGTCCTTTTCATTACCACACCCATCACTGGGTACTGATTCTGCCTTCCTACACCCTTGGCAAGCACCCAGTTTCCATGGATTTTCCTATACAAATGGAGTCACATAAAATTTATCATGTCTGGCTTTCTCCACTCAGCCAAAACTTTTTTTCCAGTACTAAAGGAAGAACCCAGGACCTTCACATTCAGCTACAGTCCTGCCCTTTTTAAAAATTTTGGCACAGTCTGAGCTCCTGCGCCGCCCAGGCTGGGCTCCAGCTTGTGATCCTCCTGCCTAAGCCTCCATCCCAGAGTGCAGGGAGTAGAGAGGAGGGCCCCACGGAAGCTCGCTGAGGGTAGCCGTTCTCAGATTCGTCCATGTGGCTGCATGTAACTATGTGCTGTTTGTTCATTTGGTATCTTTTTGAGACATGGTCTCACTGTGTAGCTCAGGTGGGCCTTGAGCTCACTTAGTTGCCCAGGTTGGTCTCAGACTCACAGTGATCTTCCTGCCTCAGCCTCCCAAGTACTGGGATTACAAATGTGCACCACCATGCCAGCTGTATTCTTTTTAAAGAATGAATAATGTTCCCTTGTATAGTGTGTTTATCATGAACCAGATCACTGGACACTTGGAGTGTAGCCATTTCATAGACAATGTGAACAATGCTACTGTGAGTGTGTGTGTTAGTGTTTTGGGTACAAGGTGTGATTGGACAATACAGTGAAGCCAAGTAATCCCAGCACTCAGGAAGCTGAGACAGGAGGATTGCCCGAAGTTCGAGGCCAGCCTGGGCTCCATGGTGAGTTCAAGCCAGGAATATAGCTCAGTGGCACAGAGCCTGCCTGGCAAGCACAAGGTCCTGAGTTTGATTCCTAGTAGCAAAATAACAACAAAACCATAGTGAGTTTGAGACCACCCTGAACTACATAACACTCTGCCTCAAAAAAAAAAAAAAAAAAGGAAAAAAAAAAAGAAAAATACAGTGAATGTCTTACTTTTCCAAATTTATTGGAGTGAAAGACTTGGTTGTAAATACTCTTCAGAACCTCCCCTTTGCTTCAGACACACTCATCCCCTCACTCTTGCCACTTGACAGCAGTGCCGGAGTCCTCTTTCCTGGGTGTCTTTGGTTCTACTATCCTGGCTGCCTGAATTTCATGAATGTATTCACAACACTGACCTCCTCTTGTCTTTCCAACTCTGGGGAGGAGCTAGAAGTCACACAGTGCTGCCAGAAACCCTGAGTGAGGTGGATGAGGACCCAGCGCCATGTTTTCATGCGTCTGCTTTCAGTTGGATGGCGCTTGGTGGTAGTCACTGTCTTTTTGATCAGCCCTCGCATAGATACAATGAAGGACACTGGGGATAAAGGTGTTTGATGTGGAAATGGAGTATTTTGAAGGAGATTTTTGCAGTATGTTTCACTAAAATAAATGTAGATATTCACAGCTTATTTGATCACCCACTGCATTTCATTTCTCTAGAGCATGGATCCAGGAGCAGACTTGCTGGGTGGTGGGTAACTTGGAGACCCCAGTGGACATTTCCAAGCAGCCACACTGCCTTGGGCCCCCTGGCAGCATGTGGGGGCCCACACCTGCACCACACTAGTGCCAGGCTATGGGTGAGAGCTGGCTCTCACTGTGGTGTCTAGCTCTTTTCCCCAAGGGCTATCTGCAGTACGTGGCCTTCGCATGCTCCTTGGCTGCTCTTTTGGGTTTTTGTTTTTGGTCCTGGGCATCAAACTCAGGACCTTGTGCTTGTGAGGCAGGCGCTTGTGCCGCTGAGCTACCTGCCCTCCCCTGGCTGCTCTTTCATTGCCTTCTTTGGTCTATTTTTATGAGGTGAAAGAGTACATATTTGAACTCTGGAACTAGAGATGGGTGAAGATAATACATGGCGGGGGCTTTTTTTGTTTGGTTGGTTTTTTGGTTTTTTTGTGGAACCAAGGATTGAACTCAGGCCCTTGCACTTGTCAGGCAAGCGCTTATTCTTCTGAGCTATTTCCCCAGCCCTTAAAATTACTTTAACTTTTAGTGGTATCGGGGATTGAACTCAGGACCTTGTGCTAGCCAGGCAAGCACTTATTCTGCTGCGCTATCTCCCCAGCCCCTATGTGGCATATTTAAAAGATTCAAAAGAAATATAAAAATTAAGGACTCCATATCTGGCAGAGGCTTAACTTTTTAAAAGTTCTTTCTAGTGTTTTATATCACTCATTTTTAAAAGCACAATTTAGCACTGCAGCCTGGCCTTTGGGAGTTCTGCATATTTCTGAGTATAGTTTCTGTGTTCATCTTGTTCTACAATCTAAAATTAGAAAAATGGCATTCTAACATAAGTACACAAAGGTCTTTGAAAATACAAAACTGGAATTAATTTTTCCAAACAGATGTCACATTTTCTCTGGGATATGTGAAGTGGTTAGACTTTGCATAACTTAAATTTTATCTTTAGAAACTTTTTTTTTTTTTTTTGCGGAACCAGGGATTGAACTCAGACCCTTGCGCTTGCCGGAGAAACGCTTATTCCACTGAGCCATCTCCCCGGCCCCAGAAACCTTTTTTTTTAGAAATATTCTTTAGTCATTTCTGAGGTTAATTTTTTAATTGATGATTATTGAATAAGTCTCAAGTATATGGCTTTCTTTAAAGTGGAATTATTTTCTTGTCTGATAGAACAACCCTCCTTTGAAGTCAAGGAGCTTCTCTCTTGCATCCAGCGGTAATTCTCCAATCTCCCAGCGGAGGCCGAGTCAGAACACCATCTCCTTCTTTGGCGTCGGGCCCTCCAAGCTGCAGCCCTCGGGCAGAAGAGCGCCCTTACCACCAGACCACCTTGTGGAAGTCAGAGAGGTAACTCCGTAAAATGCCATCTTGCTTGCTTGGTTTCTCACAAAAACTGTTAAAATATGGCTTGTAGTTCCTATCCAGTATAGAATGTCCCGAGTTTCCTCATGTCTGTCAACTCTGCTTCGTATACAATCCTTTATCTACCTTTTGTGTCTCCAGAAAGAATAAACTGCTTTACTGTAAAATTCAGGATCAGAGATTTGGGGAAGGCTATAGAGCCAAACAAGTGATGTTTTCCTGTTTTAGGTGGGGACAACACTAGGAATTGAACCCAGGCGCGGGTTCCCCACTAAACTATATCCTCAGCCCCACCCCAGCCCTCCCAACCCCCATTTTTAAAATTTTGAGACAGGATCTCCCTAAATTGCCTAACATTCTTAGTGTGAAGGCCCCAGGTTCAGTTCCCAGTACAAATTTGAAAAAAAGTCTACAGATGAAATTGATGTTCAGAGCAATGTAGTGACGTCCCTGCGGTACACAGACAAGAGCTTATGATTCCCTTTCGTAGTCTTGTTATAGGCATAGGTTATAGAGGCACTTTTATGTCCATAGTTTTGTATGTGCGGCACATGCGCATGTGCTGAGCCCGGGCTTCATACATAGTGAGCATGCGCTCTGCTGCAGGGCTACATCACCAGGGTGTTTGTAGAACTTATGGTGATGGATCAGTGTGTAGATGAAGGCCAGTGATTGTCCCTTGCAGCCTGAGTGGAGAGAAGGGCAGCATTGAAAGTGGGTAGGCGGGCCGGGGAGATGGCTCAGTAGAGTAAGTGCTTCTCTGGCAAGCGCAAGCGTCTGAGTTCAATCCCTGGTTCTGCCAAAAAAAAAAAAAGTGGGTAGGAGAGAAGGGATAGGTAAAGACCAGCATGTGGACAGCTGGCACTTTGGCTGTGTCATGTGCCTCAGTGTGGGCTGGACACGGGGTGTGGGTCCCTGAATGTCCACGATGGCCAGGCTGTGGTGTGGACACTTCTGTCTATGCACTGGGAGTCAGTGCCTGTGGTGGGAGCGGCAGCCAGAAGCGAGTGCTGAAGCTGCTATGTGGGGAGCCTGCGCCAGGCGTGGTTCCGTGGTTTTGCCGGTTCCGCCTCTCTTCTGAGGTGCTCACCAGCCTGCTCTGATGCTGGTTCTGGTCCCACTGTCGCAGTAGTGAGTGCTTTTCATAGCCACGATGGACAAACAGTGCTCTACAGCTCCAGTGACTCTTTATGTCATTCTTGCTTACTCGCTTGTTTGCTTGTTGTCTGTTTGTTTGTCTTCATGCTGAGAGTTGAATCCAGAGCCATTGCCCTGAGCTGCATCCCCAGACACCACTGCCTGTTCTTTGGAGCCAGGTCTCACTAAGTAGCCAAGTTGCCCAGGCTGAATTTGAACTTGCAGTCCTCCTACGTCAGCCTTCCAGAGGGCTTCTATGTTAATATTTAGCATGTGACCCTGGCATGTGTGTAGTCTTACCCCTTTGGGAAGAACAGGCATTGGCTTACGGTTGTCTCGCTTGGCGGCAGCCTCCCAGCAATGGCAGCTGCAGTGAATATTGAAGGATTCAGTACAGGTGGTGTTTAGCAGTTCTAAGCCAGCCTGGGCCCCACGCAGGCCAGGAAACGGTCTGCTGGTCGCCAAGCCCTGCCTAGCTGGTACTTCCGCACTCAGCTGCACAGCAGCGCAAGCGCTGAGGTTGTTACTCTGCTTGGAGCAAGTCTATACACATCTCCCTGAAGTGTGTGTGTGCTTCTCCTGTTCTCCAGAGCCACTTTTTCCTTTAAACTGTAATTTATAGTTCATTATTGGAAATCATCACAGCCTAGTGTAGTCCCTTGAGCATGTTGTTTCCTAGTCTGTTTTCTTTTCTCTCTCTCTTTTTTTTGTCTTTTTGAGACAGGATGCTGCTATGCAGTTTAGGCTAGCCTTGACCTCACTTTGTAGCCTAGGCTGATCTTAAACTCACAAGCATCCTCCTGCCTCAGCCTCCTGAGTTCCTAGTCTTTCTTTATGAAGCTATTTAGGAATCTGTCTTTAGTTTTTGAATTAGGTGCATTTCTCTGAAGGATCTCTAATTGTAGTTCAGGCTGATCTTGAACTCACAGTGATCGTCCTTCCTCAGCCTCCCGAGTGCTGGCGTCTACTACTAGACCCAGCTGGATGCTTTTCTTTGGAGTACTTAACATGTAAGGGCATAATTCATATGTCTCCCTGCTGGGTGACTCCGATTGGATTTTATTAGTAAAAGGATCAATAAAAGAACTGGAGGTACAGCTCAGCAGCACGACACCTGGCTCGCAAGCGCAAGATCCTGAGTGCGATTCCCAGTACGAAAAAAAGATCAATAAGTGTTAAGATCCATGTGTGTTCAGAAATATTCTTCTAAAAATCAGAAATATTTTTCTAAAATTCACTCTGTTTACATCTTTTATCTTTCACATTTCAATATCTGTCTACAATTTTTAATTTGTTATATAATTATTATTGATTTTCAATGAAGTTAATAATGAGTTAAAAAAAAAAATCCACCTGAGCCACCAGGCTGCCAGGGGACGCTCATGAAAGTGCTGTTAGTGGTGCAAGGCGGCGGGGACGTGAAAGTGGAAGCCCTCTCTGGAAAGTGTGCCAGCCGCCTCGCCAGGGCAGTTCTCACCCAGTAGAGCAACTGAGAGCATTTGTTTTAGGTTCAAACCATAGTGAAGGGTTTTCACCAATTCAGAAAACATTAAAGGCTACTTTTTTTTGAAGTAACTTTAATTTGCAAAAAAAGGGTAGAATAGTATACGATTTCTGTATATTCCTCATGAGATTTGCTATGGTGTTGCTATCTTACGTAACTTACGTAATTTATTTTAACATAAAAAGTACAATTCTGTTATATGTTAATGTTAATTAACATGTTTTTATGCCAAATAACGATCTTTTTTCCAAAACAAATTATTGAAATGACTAGACCATTGTATACTTTTGCAGTCTGTTTATTGTTGAGCTTAACTCGTTCACAGTGGAGCCATACTTGAGATGCCTGTCCACCAGGCCTCTGAACCACCATTGTATATGCAGGGCTGACCCGTCATGTGGCCTGGGGCAGTCCCATCCCCTGATGCAAGCCGCCTGATGGGACAGTCATTCATATACCACCTGTGGCTAATAGACCACATTAGCATTTTCATACCTGCTTATGCAATAGATCTTTTACAATTTATTGGGTTGAAATAAATGATTAAAAACTGGCCTCCTACAGGTACACATTGGAGAAAAGAGGAACATTTTAATAGCCTTTTCCCATTGTGGGCATTCTTTGACACTACACCAAAACTTACACTGAGTTGTAACTCATAATGTCAGATGTGGAATAGCATCTGACGTGCGCCAGTGAGCTGTCTCTGTTCTGTGGCGTGAAAGTTCATTGTGGTCTGTGCTGCACCTTGTGTGAGTCCCAGCCTGCCACTGTGCAGCCGTCCTGCATGTTAGCCATGTGGGAAATGCTGACTCAGAGCCCCGCAGGTCTTGGAAATGTTGGTCAGCACAGTGTTGACAGTTTGCATTTATTAACATCCCCACCCATCTTACTAGAAACAGCTTCTAATATTGGGAACCTGTCAGCCCTGTGATGCCAGGTAGGTTTTCCAAAATCCTGATGTTCACCTTAAAGCTCACATTGTATGTTTTGTTTTGTTTTTTGGTGCAGGGTCTTACTACACAGTTCGAACTCAGTGACTCTCCTGTTTCAGCCTCCCCAGTGCTAGGATTGCAGGCATGCACCACCACGCCTAGACTAAAGCTCACATTTTATAATTGGCAATGGATACAGTCAGTTTTATAATTGGGAACGGATACTGTCAGTTTCTTTTTCTTTAGAAATGACAGGTTCATTCCATTGAGTCTTGAGGAAATGTCTTTGATATGACGCCAAGCCTGTGAGTCACCCTTTCACATTAGGGTAGTCGTTAATGTGTGCAAAAAATAGGTCACCAGCTCACAGCTCAGTCGTAGCACTCTCCCTGCACACAGCCCTCCTGGGTGTGCTGCTCACCTGCTCTCTGAGGACCTCCGGTTGGTCAGAGTATTCTCAGAGCATGTGCTCGGGTATAGAGGTAGAGCTAGCTTGTGCCCTCACTGCCCTTTCAAGGACATTTTTAAGCACAACTCATTTCTTCTTTATGAGGCTGCACAGCAATGGATGCTACTGGCCACCAGCAGGGCCAGTGTCTCTGCCTGTCACTGGTGTGCCACCCCAGGCTGCCATGCAGTCCCCACAGTATGGAGCTGTCACTCCTGGGAGCATCACAGAAGTAGTGTTGGTCTCACGGCTCCCCGCAGAGAACCTCCCAGGCTCTGCCAAGAGGCACCAGTGCCAGGAACTTGTGCCACAGAGGGAGGGCGGAAGTGAGTGTGGAAGGAGCATTTTCATCCAGGTCCTGGGTAAGTCACTGAGATTCAGTGACAGTTGGTAAAAGCAGCTGACCCTTGAGAATAACATCATCTTGTTACACAAAAATGGACTACAAAAGATACCTAATTAAAATGTCCTTTTAGGGCCAGAGAGATAGCTCAGCAGACTGAAGCGCCTGCTTTGGCAAGTGCAGGGACCACAATTTAATCCCCAGTCCTGCATGCTATGCTGGCCCCACCCCTGGGGCATGCTGAGCTGGCAACCGAGTCCAGGTGTGGCGGCGCATGCCTTTAATCCGAGCGCTGGGGAGGCCGAAAACAGGAGGATCACTATGAGTCCAAGCTGCGTAGTGAGACCCTGTACCAAATACATAAATGAATAAAATAAAATGTCCTCTTTTAGTGTTTACTGTTTATTAGTAGTGCTGCCTCAGTGCAATACTCAGTGCATGCTTCAAGGTGATTTCATCCGTGCCCAGGAGTGGTGACAGTCACGCGTCTGCAGATGCTTAGCACATGAGTGAAGAAAGGGCGCCAGGCTAGTTTCTACACACACAGCGCCACCTGCATGGCATACCACTGCCAACATATTTGCCTCATGGAGCCACAGAACTCTTAAGTAACTAGTTCTGTCATGTCAGGAACAGTCCCTGATACTTTTTTTTTTTTTTTTTTTTTTTTGGTGGAACCAGGGATTGAACTCAGGCCCTTGCGCTTGCCAGGGAAGCGCTTATTCCACTGAGCCATCTCCTCGGCCCCGCTAATACACTCTTGCGATCTGCTTTTCCACTTCTTTATAAATATTGTCCGTGATTGACTCAGTTGATTTGAAGAGCATCATTGCCAGGTTTGACAGATTTACTTACTTAAATCTCTCTTTTTTTTTTTTTTCCACTTAAATCTCTTGACTTCTAACATCAGTAGGAAATGGAACTGAAAGTAAGCATTATAAATTCAATTTTCATCTAAAAAAAGATTTCTTATCCATCATCACTATTCCATTGGCTCTAGTAGGAAAGGCTGTCAGGGCTCCTAAGCATAGCACAATACATTAAACTCGGCTGACCTGAAAGCTCGTACCAGGGCTGGTAGCAGATCCAGCTTGACAGGACCAGAAAGGTCAGGAAGGAAGGGCCAGGTATGCCGCTGCACTCCCAGTGAAGCTTCAGAGTAAGCGTAACCAGTAGTCTGAGATAAGAGTGGCTCAGAGCAACTGGCCTGGGAGTTTACTTTGGTGTTAGTTAGTTGGTTAGTGATGCTGGGGATGGAACGCAGTGCCTTGGACATGTTAGGCACATACTCTACCACTTAATCATATCCAACCCTAATTTTTCTTTGCACCTAATGTCTGATACTACCACTAAAGATGTATTGGGATGTTCCTTCTGGCGGGTTGTATAAATCTGTGCTCTTCATAAAATGGCAAGCCTTTTGAGCTTTGTTGCTTCCAGAGAAAAAGGTCACAGTCTCACTCAGTTAATAAGTATCATTAAGCCTTATGAATTGAAACAGCCTCGCAAACTTCCAGCAGATTTCTAAGCTGAGTCTGCCCTGAAAAATGACTCAGAAGCTGGAGGTGGTGACAGGAAATGTCATTGCATGTGTGCTCATGATGCAGAAGTGACTGGAGCCAGGTGTGTCCACATCTGTAATTCCAGCATTTGGGAGGACAAGGCAGGAGGATTGCTGTAAGTTTGGTGCCAGCCTGGGCTACATGGTGAGTTCAAGGCCAGCCTGAACTACGTAGTGAGCCCCTGCCTCAAAAAAAGAAAAAGAAAGAAACGAGTACTGGCAAAATCAAAAGAAAAATTAAGGCCGGGGAGATGGCTCAGTGGAATAAGCACTTCCCTGGCAAGCGTAAGGGTCTGAGTTCAATCCCTGGTTTTGAAAAAAAAAAGAAAAAAGAAAAAAAGAAATGAGGACTGGTACCCATAGAACTGTTGTCTTCCTTAGATGATGTCTCACGCTGAAGGACAGCAGAGAGACTTGATCAGACGAATTGAATGCCTTCCTGCCTCTGGGTTCCTCAGCTCCCTAGACCAAGACCTCCTGATGCTCAAAGCGACATCCATGGCCACGATGAACTGCTTGAACGATTGCTTCCACATCCTGCAGCTGCAGCATGCGTCCCACCAGAAGGGCTCGCTGCCTGCAGGTATGCTGCCCGCCACAGGGAGATGCCACATGGAGGGCCAATGGGGGAGATGCCATCTTTTGTTCTAACCCTGGAGAATTTTCCTAAGTGTGCTCTTTATTGAGTTTCAAATGATTTTGTGCCTAATCTCTAACATTCTGTAGTATTCTCAAGAGACCTCAGAGCTCCATGTGATAAAACTGAACTCAAATTTCCTGTATTTCTGTTAAAAGTGATAAAATCATAATGTACTTGTCTATGCAGTTGACCAAAGCAGAAACGTTGGGTTCATTTCTTGAATTTTGGTTCAGTCCACTAAAAGTCTGTCATGTTCTCAGTACATCTAGCATTTGGCCCTGCATTTACTATATATAACTGGAGAAAAGGGGTTAAGGTGTGGGAATACACATAAGCCCTTCTAAAAAGAGAGGGGTAAACTTGTGCTGGTGCGTTTTTTTCACAACTACTTCTTGTTCTCTTTTCTAACGCACTTCCCATACTTGTGAAAGAAGCATTTAGAAAGCCAGCAGGTCTCTTTCCCTGGGAAAAAGTTTCATTGAAGTCAGGTGGACATAGTAAGGACTCTATCCTCTCCTGTGCCTAAATCCTTCAGTCTACCTAGTAGACTATTCTAATGACAAATGTAGGCGGAGGCCACGGCTGTACTAGAGAGTGAAGTTGTGTATCCCCCTGAAAGACCTCTTAGTCCTCTGTGGTGCTAGGTTTGAACCCCAGTACCACCACAAAAAAAAAAAAAAAAAAAGTCATAGTCCAGTTCCATGAGAGAAAAAAAACATGTGAATGAAATCCACAAAATAATACCCTAAAAGAGGCACTAACCCTAGGAAGAGAGTATGACAGTAGACGAGGGAGTGAACACCTCCGAGTACCAGGTACTCTAGAAGTGACGGGTCGATGAGTGAGAGGGCCTTCAAGAGAGAAGGGCCCAGCACTGGTGTGTGAGCGTGGGTTGGCCTTTGGTGGAATTGGGCCTAGGGAGCCTGACCCAGGCAGGGTGTTCTGTAGCGTGGCGGGCGCTGTGGGATTTATGACCTGCTGAAATGGGAGGAGACCCGTTGCTCGCAGATTTCCGCCATAGTAGCCAGAGCATCTTTACTATAGCACTCGGTAACCCAGCTTCTGTCGGCCTAGATCAGCCTCCGAAATCAAATGGAACATTTTCCATTATTGATTAGGTTATAGAATCCACTTTGTTGAACTAGTTAAGGGTAACAGGAACCCTTTGAGTCATTCATGGAGCAGATGACAGGTCTCTAAGTGTGCCCACTTCTCTCCTAGGTCAGCCATTACTTATTCAGGAGCACAGGCTTTCAGTTGAAAGTTACATGGGCTTTGTTAGGCTTGAAGAAGTGAAAAAGGATGTGCCTCCACCATTCTTAAATGAGAGCCAGGGGTTCTGGTTTAGCAAACTGCTGCTGGGAATTAAGGACATGTTACTGTTTCCTAGCCTAGGCTCCTCTTGTGTTGTCCCTCCTCACTTAGCCTAAGTGCCTGCTTTCGTTACTGAGGGACAGTTCAGATAGACAGGACAGAAGTGGGCTGGCTGGGATGCACAGACTTGCAGTGAGTTCCGTCCTGCTCAGGGTTGGTTTCTTTTAAATAGGATCTGATTTCAGCTTGCAGGTTGCTCTGTGGTAGAATGCCCAATTGCGGCGCTCATGCTAATGAGGTCCATAGGGCCCTCCCAGGTCCTTTGACAAGTTGAATTGGTTGTGTAAGCTTGACACTAAATGGTTTAAATATAATCCACATCTCCTGAACTTTCCAGATTATGAGCACATTTCAGCAAGAGTTTTCTCTTACCTCATCAGGAACGACAATCGAGTGGTTAGAACCAAAGATCCCTCTCTCCAACCATTACAAAAATGGAGCTGAGCAGCCCTTTGAGACAGAACAGGATAAAGCTGGGGTCCCTGAGGAGCTGTCAGCTGTGGAGTCTGGGCCCAGAGCAAGGGTAAGAGACTGCATGAGTGTGTGGTGTGAAGACCAGGGTGTGCTGCGAGGGGTGGTTTCCCTTCGCTGTCAGGGCATCTGAGGCAGTACTGGCAGCACCGCTGCGCCTGGCACTGTTCACGCTGAGCCGCGTTTGTTTGGGGCACACCGCCCTTGTATTAAACTGGAACACATTGTATGCTCCAGATGACACTGCTAGCCCCCTGTCGTGTTGATTTTCTTCTACTTGATAAACATGTAATTTGAAAAACTGAAATTTGCATGTTCTCCTTTTCCCTTTTTCCTAGGCAGAAACTACCTATAAGAATTTTATTTATTTATTTATTTATTTATTTATTTATTTATTTATTTGGTACAGGGTCTCACTGTGGAGCTCAGGCTCGTAGTGATCCTTCTGTCTCTGTCTGCCCAGCGCAGGGATTACAGGCTTGTGCCACCAGGGCCCCACACAGTGCAGGGGCAGGCACAGCATGTGGTACCAGGGGTCAAACCTGGGTCCTTGTGCCTGCCAGGCAGACACTTAGCCCACAAGCTGTCTCCCCAGGCCCCATCATGATTTTTGCACAGTAATTATTTTTCTTATTCTCTTAATATTGTTTACTGTATGTTTACTATTGTTATAAGTGTTTTCATAGTAAACACTTTACCAACCCAGTTTTGTTTTGTTTTGTTTGCCACGAGATGTGTTTTATTTTCATTTAACATACAAATAATTTTCTATAATATCCCAGGGCAAACCAGAGAATTTGGCAGTCCGATTGGGGGGGTCCCCTCAGAGACCCACGGGCCGGTGGCATCGGCGCGGAATGCCCGGGTTCACAGTGCAGCTTGTGGCTCGTGTCCATCTTGCAAGTGGCTCTTCCTCCACATCATGACTGGGGGGTCTCGGAGATGACAGGGGCGGGGAATTGTCTGGGCTCTTAGGAAATCTCACTCCGCTTTTCCTGCTCAATGGTCTCTTTGGTCGGCAGGGTGTTCTTCTCCTGCGTCTCCGTCTTCTTCAGCTTGGCCTTATCGAAGCTGGCGATTTCCCCTATGTCTGGTTTGTCTGCCATTTTCTTAAAACAATCCGAAAGTGTTTCGCTCCGAGCCCGAGCTCCTGGTGCTCCCACTCGCGTTGCTGCAGCAAGAGACCAACCCAGTTGTTTTAAATACATTATTACCCTACTTAAAATAGCACGTGCTGTCTGGAAAATATGAGGTCCTGAATTCGATTTCCGGTACGCACACACCCTAGGGAAAACTTGATGTGATGGTGCACACTTGTAGTCCCAGCACTTGGGAGGCTGAGGCAGGAGGATTGCATTGAGTTTGAGGCCAGCCTGAACTGCATAGTGAAGCCTCATTTCAGAAAGACAAAAAAGGAAATAAATAGCACATACTCTCAGGGTTTAATATTTTTATAAAATATTATGCATTTTACATTGGTTTTGTTTTTATTTTTTGAGACAGGGTCTGACTATGTACAGTCTCGGCCTCAAACTTGAAGCGGTCTTCCTGCCTCAGCCTTCCAGGTGCTGGGATGGCAGGTGTGCACCATGATTCCCACCAACATTTCATATTTTTGAGAAGCTAAAGAGTGTTCGTTGTATTTATATGTCTACTAGTGTTACAAATCATATGAATATTTTGCCCTTTGTGTTACTGTTTTCCCTACTCCACTGTCTTTGGGTTATTTCTGTACATTTAGATCGCACCCCAGATAGAATCACTGAGCCAAGAGCAGCAGGCTGCGAGGGCTACTACGTATTAGTACATTTCTTCCTGGAAGGAGCACGTGACGTGAGTACTGCCAGCACTGGCAGGGCTCTGACCCGAGGCAGGTGGGAGGCAGAGTGGGCAGAGAAGCGGGACACACAAAGGAAGGGTGCCGTGCTTCATGCCAGCGGATGTGCATTAAGTTGTCTGGCAGGTGACAGGTCTGATGTTAGCATTTTGGAGGGCAGCAAAACCAGGAGACACAGGTCTTCCTTTGGAGAGACTGAGTGCCTGGAGTGTCGCCGTCCTCTGATGCACGTGAGCAATGCTGTCACCCCCGCGGGTTCAAACTGCACTGCTGGGAGGTGAGCATTCAAAACGTTGAGTGGGGTGGAGCCAACATGCTTGGGGCACAGTGTGGGGCTGGAGCTAGGCTGTGAGGGAGACGGAACTCGAAGAGAGGAACGACACGGGCAGGGTGCTGCAGCACATGGCCGTCATCCGTGGCGGCAAACTCGAGCCATGTCAGTAGTGACACGTGGCCCAGTAATTAACCACCCTTCCATCCGATTTCCTCGTCTGTAAAGCCCGTATGACGATGTCTGCAAGATTTGGTGAGGAGGAAATGAATGTAGGAGAGCACCTGGCTTACCAGAGATGGCTGCAGGGCTGTCGGGCTTCGTGTGGCTGCACAGTGTAAGCTGTGTTCCTGAAGGACGTGAAAGTCACCTGCGAGAGCGTTGGTGCAGTGCAGCCGGGAGCGCCATGAGCACCCGGAGGGATGCGTCTGCCAAGATTGATGGGTGACTCGGCATGTAGTGAAGTGTCATCGAGGGCTAGTAAGGAAGTAACAGTGAAGGCTCATGAAGAGCCAGTGTACATTTCAAGTGACAAGTCATTTGGATTTTGGATAAGATGTAAGGATTGGATCCAAGAAAACTCCAAATTTGGGGCAGACATGACTAGATACTTGTGCAGTTTGCAGGCTAGGTTTTTGCAAGATTGAAAAGATGGGGGTTTTTCATTTTTCTTGTGATGTGAGAGCATTGAACCCAGGGCTTTGCACTGAGCTATGCTCAGCCCCTTTTATTTGGAGACAGGTCTCAGTATGTTGCCCATGCTGGGCTTGAACTCGTGAGCCTTCTGCCTCAGCCTCCTAGAGTGCTAGGATTGCAGGTGTGCACCACCCTGCCCAGCTCCAGCCCTTATTATTTTGAGATGGGATCTGCTAAGTTTCCCAGGCTGTCCTCCCCCTTGTGATGTTCCTGCCTCAGCCTCCCTAATAGCTAGAGTTAAAAACATGCATCACTGTGCCTGGAATAAAACTATGTTCTTTTAAAGAGCCTACTACCAGGTATGTTTTATTTCTTTAGCAGAATCTTTTCGCTGGAGAAAGTTCAAATCATAAAGTAACTGGTGTTAAAGCTGTTTGTCCATCCTTCCTGTGCAAGGGATTGAATCCAGGGCTTGAATCCTGAGCTGCACCCCAGCCCCCAAAGTTGTATTCACGTTATTCATCCGTGGCCTCGGTTCTGACCTTAGATGTCGTGTTACCTTTGCAGAGACTTGGAGAAGAGTATTTATGCAAAGCCTAGCAGGGTTTCTTTCTGTGCGACCTCACATAATTACGTCATCTCATGTAATGTTTGGTGTGCTTCTGTAACCAGGAGGGTGAATTTTCCTCCCATTTATCACAGGTCCACGTTTGAAGTACACTTAGCTGTGCTGCACACTTGGCATGGGTACATAATGGAAATACCCCTGACACACCAGCCATCAGGAAGAATGCAGAAAGCCTTTGGATCTCTCCTTCAGGGCATAAAAACAGAAGTAGTTCTGATATATGCAAATAGTGATGTCTATGTGGGGTTCTTGTTTGTTGTGGGGGAGGTTCTACATTCAGGAAGTTGAACCAGGGTATCACACAGTGTACCACTGAACTGCATTCCCAGCCTTTCTTGATTTGAGACTCAGTCTTGCTGGGTTACTCAGCTGGCACACTTGTCATCCTTCTGCCTCGGCCTCCCAAGGTGTTACCAGTGTGCACCACCACCCAGCTGATCTGTGTGATCTAATGTAAAAAAATAAATTTAACTGCCAGCTGATTTGTCATAATATATGTGGGGTTTTTTGGTTGGTTGGTTGGGGGTTTTTTTTTGGGGGGGGTTGTTTTGTTTTTTATTTTGTTTTGTTTTTATTTTTGGCAGAACTGGAATTGAACTCAGCCCCTTGCACTTGCCAGGCAAGCGCTTATTCTACTGAGCCATCTCCCCAGCCTCCTCATAATATATGTTGATATAGACTTCCTTGATAGAAAAGGAGAAAGCTGAAGAGAAGAGCATGGTCAGAAACTGATTAGCTTTCTACTCTGTCGCTGTGCATTATATTTTGTTTTTAGCATTTTGAAGATACTAAGTTACTGATTTTGTGTATGAGTAGGATCAGGTTTTTTTTCCATGCTTAACTGCATAGAATGCATGGGTTTCTTATTTGCTAGTGGAAAGGGAAAATCAGAACAAATACATTAATAAGATCATTTGTTTTTAGAAATCCTCCTTACTTAAAACCTAATGAAATTCAAAGAGATGACGTCTGTCTTGTTGCATTGCTGAGACAAGGTACCAACACCCGAAGTTAAAGGCGACAGTGTTTATTTAGCTCACAGTTTGTCCGATGTCAGCTGGCTCCAGGGCAGGGTGTCTTCTGTCCAGGCTACTCACCCTAAGTCGGGGAGCACTCACACCCAGGGTAGGGCAGCCTTAATCCCTAGCATCAAACCATGAGTGCATCCCAGCACCACATCCTTGATCCCAGCAGTGCACGCCCTAGGTTCAGCCACCTCTGAAAGGCCCTACCTGTGACCTCATGAGGCTTTGCAGGGACAGCTAGACACAAGGCACAATATCCACCTAAAACTGTCTTAGAGATGCTGACAAGTGTCTACTGACAAGAGAGGACACCCTCCCCATGATGACCTAGACAGGGACAGCTGATGGGGTTTTGTGGGATGTGGGATCCAAAACTGCTATTTGTTTAAATAGAAATAAATATGGAATTGCTTCTTACTGAGTCTCTTGGGGCCCAAAGCCTGCCGAGATATAAGCACTTCTTCAGCTTTTCCAGGCATGGTTTTGTGATAGTCAGGGTGATCAAGGCACTGGGCAGAGAATTTTGCAGTGTCCCAGCCCTGTGGGGGCAAGTGCAGGTTTCCAGCACATGCCTAGGGCTGCGTCCTACATGCCAAGGGCAGCTCTGTGGGTAGCTCTTGCCTGCCCTGCACGAGACCTGGGTCGATCCCCATGATAACAAAGAGAACATAAAAGGCAGTTTACAGGGGCTAGCCTTGACATGCATGCAGGCGCTTCTAGAATTGCTTCATCTCTTGGTAGCTTTAAAAAAAATTCTCACGGGCTGGTGAGATGGCTCAGTGGTCTAAAGCACCTACTTAGAACAAACTTAGCAAAACACAGGGACCGCGGTTCAATCCCCCAGCACCACATGCCAGCCAGCCCCACCCCCTGGTGGACTGAGCTGGCCACACACACACACACACACACACACACGCACACACACAAATAAATAAATAAATAAATAATTTTTTTAAAAAAAATTCTCAGAACTCTGCCACTATAGGCCATGGTGGTGTTCCCAGTGGGCAAACAGAACTTGGAATTCAGATGAAACCTTCTGCCCTTTTTTTGAAAAACACCATTTCTACACAATAAATGTGTCTTACATGTGGTGTAGATGGCAAATCCACAGGATTTTCAGTATCAGAACTCATAGGCTCTCTGAAGGAAATGTATGCCATCTGGCAGTGAGGAGTGATGTTTTCAGGAAGAGTGCGGCCCGTACTCTGCTTTACTTAGGCCCCGTGTAAGTGTCTTTGAGTCTGCCACAAAATCTTTTATCCTCATGAGCCTTAACACGTGTTTACGAGCGAGCCCTCTGCTTGTGTGCAGGAGCCTGAGGACATAAAGGCAGATGAAGAAGTGGAGGACACCTGCGACCACAAGGAGGATGATCTGGGGGCTGTGGAGGAGCAGCGCAGTGTCATCCTGCACCTCCTGTCCCAGCTCAAGCTGGGCATGGACCTGACACGGGTACGTGAGGGCTTGGGCCGGCCACAGGGGCCACTCCAGGGTTGTTCATGGTCCAACATTGCTGTTCACCACTCCCTCCTGTCTCCCTGTCTTTTAGAGATAGTGGGGCCTCTTAAATGTTCAGCAGGTGCTCTGGCACTGGGCTAACTCCTAAGCTTTGAAAGTTTATTTTGAGCATAGTATGGTAGCCCAGGATTGGGGATACTGAGGCAGGAAGCTTGAAGCCAGCCTGGGCTACACCATGAGTTCAAGGCCAGCCCAGAATACATAGCAAAGGGGCTGGAGAGATGGCTCAGTGGTCTGAAGCACCTACTTAGAACAAGCTTAGCAAAGCATCAGGGACCGCGGTTCGATCCCCCAGCACCACATGCCAGCCGGCCCCGCCCCCTGGTGGGCTGAGCTGGCCACACACACACACCACACACACTCACTCTCTCTCTCTCAAATAAATAAAAATTAAAAAAAAAAAAAAGAATACATAGCAAGACTGTCTCAAAAGAACAAACAAGAAGATTATTTTGAAACAGTTTCACTAAAATGCACAGCCTGCCTTGAACTTCTGATCCTCTTGCCTCAGCCTTCTGAGTGGCTGGGATTACAGGTGAATGCCTGGTTTGGTATCCTAATGTGTCCCTCACTCTCCCCCAGTGCTGGGGATTGAATTAAGGCCTCGTACTTACATTTGTTTTGGAGGTATTTTTTGTTTTGTTTTGATTGGATTTTGGTCCTGGGGAATTGAACTCAGGACCTTACACTTGCCAGGCAGGCACTTAAGCCGCTGAACTATTTCCCAGCCCTTATGCTTATTTTTATAAGAAACCTGTGTTTTTCTTGCAGAGTCATTCTTAACACGTGTGTACAGACAGCACACTTGGGGTAGGTCCTAACTGACTGAAAAGAGCCAGATGATACTTTTAGCGGTGTGGCCATAGAGCTGTGTAGCAGCTATGAATAGGATATGCTAGATGATCATGACCAGGATTGAGCTAAGTCTTACAAAAGCGAAGCTGTCGGCACAGACTTACAATCCCAAATACTTGAGGCTAAGGCAAGAGGATCTCAAATGCAAAGCCAGCCTGGGTAAAGTAGAAGACCCTAGCCCGAAATACAACGGAGGACCCTCTTTTGGGTCCTTCCTCCCAAGGTGATGAAGAAAAGGAGCGACAGTCATGCCAAAAGGGGCCATGGGGGCTGGAGAGATGGCTCAGTGGTCTAAAGCACCTACTTGGAACAAGCTTAGCGAAGCATCAGGGACCGCGGTTCGATCCCCCAGCACCACATGCCAGCCAGCCCCGCCCCCTGGTGGGCTGAGCTGGCCACACACACACACACACCACTCTCTCTCTCTCTCTCTCTCTCTCTCTCTCTCTCTCTCTCTCTCTCTCTCTAAAAAAAAAAAAAAAAAAAAAAAAAAAAAAAAAAAAAAAGGGGGGGCCATGGCCATGTGCAGCCTATTCACTGCACAAACTGCGCCCGGTACGAACCCAAGGGTAAGGCCATTAAGAAGTTTGTCATTCGGAACATAGTGGAGGCCCCCACCATCGGGACCATTGCCAAAGCAAGTGTCTTCGACAGTCATGCGCTTCCCAAGCTGTATGTGAAGCTGCATTACAGTGTGAGATGTGCCATTCACAGCAAAGTGGTCAGAAATCGATCTTGGGAAGCCCACAAAGACCAAACACCTTCACCCCAATTTAGACCGGCTGGTGCTGCTCCACAACCTCCATGTAAGGGGAGCTGGGTCTTAATGGACTGAAGAAAACTCTCTTGAGAAAGAAATAATAAATTGAACGTCATACTTTAAAAAGGGGGGGGTGGGGGCTGGGGATATAGCCTAATGGTAGAGTACTCGTCTGTGGTGTTCGAGGCTCTGGGTTTAGTCTCCAGTACCACAGACAGGAGACCAGGTGCCCGGGGGGCGTGACTCAGTGGTGGAATCCGTGCTTAGTGTGCACAGTACCTGGGGTCCAAGACCCAGCACTACAGGCCAGATGGGCACTATGGACTGGAGGCTCAGAGTCCAGGGTCTCGCGATATTCAGGGTGCAAGTTGGGCCCAGTCGCATGGTCATCACCTGTACATCTTCTACAAAGGCAGATTCTGGCCAGCAGTCCAAGACTTAGCAGACCAGAGTGGCCCTTCAGTCAGGTCCTGGGTGGTCTGCACACACATCAAGGGTGGCTGGGCATCAGGCAGGTTTTCTCTTCTCCCTTCATGAATTTCAGCAAGTAGTTCATTGGTTTTCAAAGTTCATCAGGCTCTGAACCTGTGTGTGGGGTTATCCTTATTACTAACATAATTTGTGTTAATGTGGAATCTAAAAACGACATCTGTGGGGTGTTTCAGATCGAGTCTCTGGTGCCATTGAAGGTAATAAGAGTGTGACACTGTCTCCAGTGAACTGTTCTAAAAATGGTACTTATATAGAAAATAGTTTGCATTTAGGATTCACCACTTAAAAGTCAAAAACAGGAAGAGATGGAGGAAGGGGAAAGGAACATAAAAGGTGTGGTGGGTACATGTACCGTGCTTAGGTGCATGTTAGATACATGTACTCTTCATCATGAATGGAATCATTATATACTGCAAATAAGAACTTACAAAAATAAATTTCAAGTCAAAAAGGTATAAACATATTCCATTCGACAAGAATTGTTCTTCATTCGACTTCCTTTGTAAGCCAACAAAGTGAGTTGTTTGTTTTATTTTCTTTTTGAGACAGGGTCTTAGTATACAGTTTAGGTTGGCCTTAAGTTCACTTTATAGTCCAGGCTGGTCTCAAACTTCTAACTATTCTTCTGCCTCAGCCTCCCAAATGCTGGGATTACAGGCCAAAGTGAGTTTTATATATAGTCTCTATGAAAGTTTGTAACTCGAGTGTTCATAAGTCAGGGACTTACTGTAGTGTGTACCTACAATCCCAGCACTGAGGAGGCTGAAGTAGGAATGTCACTGCAAGTTCAAGGCCAGTGTGCACTACCAAGTACTCAGACCTTAGGGTAGAAAGAAGTAGCAGCGACACAAGCTTAGCTGGCCAGCCCTCACAGGCAGTAGCCCCCAAAAGGAAAGGACACTGGCTCTGGGTCCCAGCCTCCCCTCCTAAAATGCCAGGGTTTAGAGAAGGTGATGGGGACCGGGAAACAGGGTCTCCAAGTGTGGCACAGCCATTGTCAGCTGCCGGGCTCCCCCAGCTCCCTGAGAGACTGAGGCTAAGTGCACCCTAGTGGCACAGCTGCGGGAGCCAGCTGTCGGTGCAGCTGAGGCGAGTCTCCGACAGGGCTACTGGCCCAGCTTGAGTCACGCAGTTGGCTACCCGTGCAGCCTCCAAAGAGCGTGACTCCTGCCTGGAAAAGTCATGGCTCTGCGCAGCTGCTGACTGTCCTGGGCTTGTGGGGTTCACTCATCCAGAGAATCCATCAGTTGTGTCCTTTGTACCTGCACTAGAACCCCCTTTCCCTTCCTGATCTCCACGCAGCCCCATTCTTTCCTGGTTGTCTCACTGTGGGAGCAGGTCTCGGGTCTGCTGGAACAAACGTGTCTGAAACTTCTTTCCGGCCTTTAGTTGGATTGCTAGCTTGGATAGAACACGTCAGTAGTTTCCCTTCAGCATAGTGCTCCTTGTTCCAGGGTTCTGCTGGAAAGACTGAAGTTATTCTGGCTGCTGATCTCTTGTGACCTTTGCTTCTCTCTCTCTCTCTCTCAAACTGTTTGGGACTGTCATATTGTGGTGTAGAAACATACCTTGAGGGGCTGGTGAGATGGCTCAGTGGTCTAAAGCACCTACTTGGAACAAGCTTGGCAAAGCATAGGGACCGCAGTTCAATCCCCCAGCACCACATGCCAGCCAGCCCCGCCCCCTGGTGGGCTGAGCTGGCCACACACACACACACATAAATAAATAAATAAATTTTAAAAAAAAAAAAAAAAAAAACATCTTGATACAGATTTCTTTTTATCTATTGTAGGTTCTTTGTGGATTTTTTTTTTTAAAATGTATTTTGGTATAAGGTCTCCCTTTTATCTCGGACTCCCGGTGATCTGTTTCAGCCTCCCCAGCACTACAATTACAAGCATGTGCCACCATGCTCAGTCTCAATGGCCTGCTCAGCAGGCCAGCACGATGTATGATACTGGGGCTCGAACCCAGGTCCTTGCGCTTGCCAGGCAGGCACTTAGACCACTGAGCTATCTCCCTGACCCTCTTTGTGGATTTTTTCCAGTGTGACACTCATAGACTATTTTCTGGTGACAGATCTGGTTGTGTAGCTCAGGCTGGCCTTGAATTCATTATCCTCCTGCGTCAGCCTCCTGAGTGCTGGCATTGCAGGCATGTACCACTATGTCCCACTTGAGTATGGGTTGTTTTAATTACTGTTTTACACTCCCTTTTCTTTGTTCCTACTCATTCTTCACACTGGATTCCTGGAAGAATAATTACCAGGCTGACTCTGAACATCTTCGTGCTCATGAAAAATATTGCCAATTTCCTGTTTCAAAGAGTTGAACTGGGGCCGGGAAATAGCTCAGCGGAATAAATGCTTGCCTGGCGAGCGCAGGGTCCTGAGTTCAATCACCAATACTGAAAGAAAAAAAAAAAGAGTTGCACTGGTTCTGCAGGGCCTCTCCTATTCTACTTTCGGATATTTTGTCTTACCCTGCTTTAGGGGTCAGAAAGTTCTCTTCTCAGAAGTAGTTCTGTTGCACCTAGTACCAGCCTCACATCAGTTAGTTTTCATTAAAGTGGCACATCACCTCTCTTCTAGGAAACAACATTTTCTGCCTCTTCTGGTAGTTTGCTATTGCCCAAGATTAATTTTTTAGAGTAAGAGAGGAGACAGAGCTCACGTGGCTCACTTTATTTCAGACTTTAGTACTATTTTCCTGATGATACTTGTATCTAGTCTGGAAGCTTAAAGTTTCTGCTGTTCCTTTTTTATTAGGAGCAACAGCTTTCTGTATTGCTCTATCGCTTTTTTTGGCAGGTGTGGCGGAGGGGGATTCAGCTTGGCCTTGAGCTCCCTTTTAGCCCAGGCTGGCTCTGGATTCACAACAATCCTGCCTCAGCCTCCCGAGTGCTGGGATGACAAATCCCCTGTAGCACACAGAGCTCCCAGGGCCCTGCAGACTGCCTAGATCTTGTCTCCTGTGATCTCCTCCCAGGTGGTGCTGCCCACCTTCATCCTGGAGAAGCGCTCCCTGCTGGAGATGTACGCAGATTTCATGTCGCACCCTGACCTGTTCATAGCCATCACGAGTGGCACCTCGGCTGAGGACAGGATGATCCGCTTCGTGGAGTACTACCTCACCTCTTTCCACGAAGGCCGGAAGGGCGCCATCGCCAAGAAGCCGTACAACCCCATCCTTGGGGAGACCTTCCACTGCTCCTGGCAGGTGCCCAAGAGTGGCCCGGGTGCCCAGCCAGGCGCTCCGCCACCCGAGGAGCCCACCGGCTGCTACACTGTCCGCTTTGTGGCCGAGCAGGTGTCCCACCACCCGCCCGTGTCTGGCTTCTACGCTGAGTGTGCAGAAAGAAGGATGTGCGTGAACGCGCACGTGTGGACCAAGAGCAAGTTCCTGGGCATGTCCATCGGCGTGACGATGGTGGGCGAGGGTGAGTGCGCCTGCGCGCAGGGCGGCAGTCAAGGGTGTGAGATGCTATGCACACTCTGCATCCCCATATCCCTGGGGATTAGGGAGCGGCCTGTGGACCATCATAAATTCTCTTTTTATCTAGCTTTCAGTGTAAAATAGTATTATCATCTAAAAAGTACATAAAGGAGGAAGGAAAGGCTTCTCTGATCCTTTCATGGAGAAATAGATAATATAAGTTGTTATCTTTTAGTTTTCTATGCGTCTGCTCATGCTTTTAGTTTTACAAAATTAGGATTAATTCTCTGTATATTTTAGTGCCCCACTCTTTATACTAAATATATTCATTTTCTCATAGCACTGATTTAAATAGGTGTATATTATTTTTTAAACTGCATTTGCTATCATTTGTTAAATTATTTTCCTTTGGGACTGAAATTATTTCCAAAACTCACAAGAAATGTCTTCTAGCCAGTCATGGTGGTGCACACCTGTAAATCTAATGCTCATGAGGCTGAGACAGGAGAATGTCCCAGGCTTTGAGGCCACCCTCAGCTGCATAATGATTTCCAGGCCAACTTGACACATACTTAAAAATCTCTTATAATTCTTTAAATGCCATTGCCAAATTTTACTTTTATCGAGAGGTGTGAAAAAAAATAATTTGAAAGAATACAATTTTGTGGGTCAGTAACACAAAGGAAAAACCTCTGCAGAAGCCATTAAAGACAACTTGTTCAAAACGTAAGTTTAGGGGCTGGAGAGATGGCTCAGTGGTCTAAAGCACCTACTTGAAACAAGCTTGGCAAAGCACAGGGACCGCAGTTCGATCCCCCAGCACCACATGCCAGCCAGCCCTGCCGCCTGGTGGACTGAGCTGGCCACACACACAATAAATAAATGTAATAAATAAAAATAAATAAATTTTTAAAAAAAAACGTAAGTTTACAGTATAAGCATGACATAGGTCAGCCTATAACTCTAATACTTTGAGATTATGCTACTGCAGCCAGGAAGACATTATTCTATCCCTGTTCTCAATTTTCCCTATTTTTTTGTTGTTGTCGTTTGTTTATGTATCTAGTACAGAGTCTCACTATGTAGATCCTCCTGTTTACAGCCTCCCCAGAGCTGGGATTGCAGGCGCATGCCACCATGCCCCCTTTCAGTCGCCCTCTCATCATTTTCCTGAGGGTTTATAGATCAGTTTATTTTAGAAATGAGGAATCCGCCACCTAGTGGTGGCAGGACACGAAGGCTGAGCCCTGGCCAGGTTGGAAGCTCCTGCCTGATGCTGTCCCTGAGGACTGGCTTCTTCGTCTTGAAGGGTGGAAAGAATCTGAGCAGAGTTGGGCTGGAGATGCAGCTGAGCAGCACGCGGGCCTACCGGGCAAGCGCAAGGTCCTGAGCTCAGTTCCCAGTGCCAAGAAAGAACCTGGGAAACTGGGTGCGGATGCCCGCCCATGCCCCCCGCCCCCCGCTTCTGGAGAGGAGTGCCTCAGGGCCAGGGAAGGCCTTGGGCCCGCTGTGTGTAAGTCATGAAGGCAGCGTGGAGTAGGTGGGGTTACCATGATTACATTTTGGAAATTCTGTATCCATGATTACATTTTGGAAATCAAATGGCGGTAGTTTACCCTCAGCAGGAAATAAATGAAAAAAGGGAAACATGAGAAGAAGGAAAAAAGAGACAAGGAAAGAATAGAGGGCCAGGGATACATAGCTCTGCAATGCAGCACTGCGTGGCAAGCATGAAGTCACGAGTTCAATTCCTGATACACCAGAAAAATAAAACAACAAGGTGTGGTGGCACACACCTGCAACCTCAGCGCTCAGGAGGCAGCAGGGGTAGGACCGCTGTGAGTTCGAGGCCAGCTGGGGCTACACAGTGAGTTCCAGGCTAGCCTCAACTGCCGAGCGAGACCCCGTCTCTTTGCCACCCTGGCGTTAGGCAGAGCCATTGCTAGCTCGTGCTCTCTCCCGAGGCCCCCAGTACAGTGCAGCGGCTCCAGCTGAGGGGCGGCACAGCATGGCCGCCCTCGTGAGGACTGGGGCGCAGCCTGAGGGTGCTCCCCACAGGCTCCGCCTTGTCTTTGCTTGCGCTGAACATTAACTGCTAATGTTCTCCATGGCTTGGGGCCCCCTTCTGAGCATTCAGGAGAGGGTTTAGCCCGCGCTCAGTGAGAGAAAGAGGCTACAGGAGCTAGGGAGGCAGCCTGGCTGTCTTCAGTGGCTTGTAAGTACCTCATGTTGATCACTAATCCCTTGTGTGTGTCTTGCAATCAGCTTGAGTACAACATCACTTAATGTAGAATCCACACCACCCCGTAGAATGATTTTTTTTTTTTTTTAATGTACTTGTAGTGATCCCTGTTTTCAGCCTCAACACAGCAGGCCCCGGGGCAGGGTTGGGGCCAGAGCGACCTGTGGTGCCCAAGATCAAACCCAGTCCCTGCACTTGCCTAAGCAGAAACTTAATCCACTGACCTAACTCACCAGCCCAGGATGATAGTATCTAAAAACATACTTGACATCTCCACTAGCTTCTCCCTAAATATTTCAGCTAAATTTATTATGTCCATAGTTTTCATGGTAGAACTATTTTTCTTCTTCCATATGCATACAGTAGAATGGCAAGCCTTTCCCTTTATGCTGAGCTAAGTCCTCTGCTCTTGTGATGGTGGCTGTCAGGTTGTCCCCAGACTGCTGAGGAGATACTGGTGCTACTTGATGACCAGGTCAACTCAGTGTCATACAGCAAGGCACTGAGTGTTGCCTCGTGGCTTTATGCAATTCAGGCTGGCCTTGAATTCCCAGGGACCAGTGCTGGGGTTACAGGTGTGCGCCACCATGTGCAGCCTTGTTTTTATTTTATTGGTAGGTGTATTCAAGGGATTTCTGACTGTTTCCACATTTCCTGGCCCAGTGAACTCCAAAAACATCATCAGGTTACAGTGAAAGTAATCCTGATTCACTGTTAGCATGAAATGATGTCACATGTAATTATAAATGAAGTCACTGTCACTCAAAGTTAAATGAAATGATGTTGGTTGCTAGACAGGAGAAAATCTGCGCATGCGCGTGGCTCCCTGCTTGTTTAAAAACACGCTGACCCCTCGCATCTTGCTCACAGGGGTCCTCAGTCTGCTGGAGCATGGGGAAGAGTACACCTTCTCCCTGCCCTGCGCCTACGCCCGCTCCATCCTGACCGTGCCCTGGGTGGAACTGGGCGGCAAAGTTGGCGTCACCTGCGCCAAGACCGGGTACTCCGCCAGCATCACCTTCCACACCAAGCCATTTTACGGTGGCAAACTCCACCGGTAAGGACTCTGACCCTGTCGGATCTTGGCCTTCTCCTATAATCCTTTGTAATAATTTCTGATTCTTCTGCTCCTTTGTTTTACAGGAAAGAAATTCATTTGTGTTTGCCTTTTGCTTAATATATTTTAGCTTCCCCAGTGTCCTGGAAATCAGGTCCTAGATGGGCGTCTTTGTATTGTTTGAGGGTTATTTTCTGGCAGTGCTGGGTCCTTATATGTGCTGGGCACACCCTCAACCACTGAGCCATATTCCTTGAGTTTTAGATAGTTGCATTGTTCACACATTAGTCCTTGTCAGATTTTCCTGATGAAAACATGTACAAGAGAATTTCTAACCAAAGCATGCAGTCTCTGCCAGATTTTGCCTCAGAATTCAGATTGGAATCCGGACTTGAATGGAGGCAGCCTCCGCTACCAACTCAGATGAAAAGATGTCTAATTGTAAGAAACCCAAACATGGTGACACAAGCACTGGGGAGGCTGAAACAGGATTGCCACGAGCCCAAGGCCAGCCTGCACTACACAGTGAGACCTTGTCTTAAAAAGCAAACAAAAATGTTTTAGTGGTTGAAGGCAGCATCTCAGGCACCGGTGCTGGACCAAGTGGCTGCTCTGTGATTTCACTTGGGAACCAGCCAGTTCTTCTCCCCCCAGCCTGTGCATCTGCGCAGCCTTAGCCCAGGCCCAGACCATAGAGGCCCAGCTTCCACCGGGCTATCTAGAGGGACCCGAAGACTTTCTGTAGCCCTTTGACATCTGTTCTGTCAGAACGTGCAGGGGAAGCTTTCTTTCCCTATAAACATGTTATTGAAAAACGGCATACATGCAGAAATCTACAGATGGGCAAGTGAAATGGGCAAATGAAAATTTGAGCACCTTGGTGTAGACAGGGCACATTCTTAGCACCGCCAGCCCTCTCGAACTGGGTCACAGTCACCTGCCAGGTTACCTTCCCGATCTGGGTAACCACTGTCCTGATCTCTAGCACTGTCAGCTAGCTCTGCCTTCTCGGTCTCTGTGTAAATGACTTCATACATTATGTTGTCTTTTCTACCCACATGTACTCCATGTTAGGATTTTGAGATTCACTCAGATATCCTTGCAGTTTTCCTGTTACTGGAGATTATAGTCCATTAATGGATGACTGCCACAATATATTCATTTGTTCTTATGTTAAAGGGTATTTGTGTAGGTCTCAGCTTTTGACCACTACATACAGTGCTGCTGTCTCATTAGCTGGTGTAGACTGCTGTTGAGTAGATAGCTAGGAGTGAGATTTCTAAGTTTCAGGGTAAGCTGAACCTCATTAGAACCTTCCAAACCACTTTAAGTGGTTAAGTCAGACTATGCCCCTCAGTCGCCTCTGAGACTCAGATTGCATGTGGCTACATCACTTCCTTGCTGCAAGACTGGCATTCAGGGTTGGGGTTGTAGCTCAGCAGCACAAGCACCTGCCTGCCACCGCAAGGTCCTCAGTTTGCTTCCTGGTACCAAAAGAAAACTTGTTTAGCTCTATGACATTAAACGGACCTTTAAAAATAGGGATTTCAGGCCCAGCCAGATAGGTCAGCAGACTAAAGCACCTGTTTAGGCAGAACACAGCAGCCTGGGTTCAATCCCGGGCATGCAGTGCTGGCCCCACCCCCAGGGTGCACTGAGACGGCAATTGAGACTGGGCGTGGTGGCACGCGCCTGTAATCCCAGCTCTTGGGAGGCTGAAAACAGGAGAATCACTAAGAGTCTGATCTACACAGTGAAACCCTGAGGACCCTGTAGACCCTGTACCAAATACAAAAAAAAAAAAAAAAAAAAAAAAAAAAAAAGAAAAGAAAGAAAGAAATAGGGATTTCAAAATACTGAATCAATGAGTATTTAAAAAAAAAAAATTCAGGCTGTCTTAAGCAGAACCACCAGCTGTTGTCAGAAGTCCCCTTTGACCTGCAGGAGGTGTTGGCAGGGTTGTGCTTCTCTGTGCGTGTCCTCCTTCCTCCCACCATGGCACAGTCAGCCCTGGAGCCTTTGTCTGGGAGGGCCGCAGGAGCACTAGGCATTACCAGATGCACGCTGCTCCGCCCCATGCCTGCTGCCCGTTGGTTCTGGGTTGGAACACTGTTAGCAGCCAGGACTCCGTGTGAGGCAGCCCCTTCCTGTGTCCATAGCCCACTCACTTAAGTGAGGCTGGAGCTAGAATCTCCGTCCCCACAACTTACCTGCACTGGTGAGTGTGTTCTCAGGGTCTGCAGCGGTGTAGGTAGAATCTCCAAATTAGCCTCAATTATTGTCAGTGGTGTTGATGGCTTCTCTTTGCCTTTCCTTCCATTTCCTTTCCCTTTTTTCTTTTTTTGCTCCAAATGCCTTCAGGGCATGATTGGCTAGCTTGAGTTGTGGGGCTGGGACCACAACAACCTGAGCCTGACTGCTTTGTTGAAGCAGCCACTTAAAGAACTCAGCTAAGGGGCAGGCCCCCTCCTTTCCCTTTTTCTCTCCTTTTTCTCTCTTTCTTTTCTTAGTTTCCACAGCGGGTACTGTGTAATATGATTGTGCATGTATGGAAAGAGATGGAAGCATGTGGTTTAATATCATAAAGATTATAAGATTTTTAGAAGCCGGGTGTAGGGGCTGGTGAGATGGCTCAGTGGTCTAAAGCACCTACTTAGAACAAGCTTAGCAAAGCACAGGGACCGCGGCTCAATCCCCCAGCACCACATGCCAGCCAGCCCCGCCCCCTGGTGGGCTGAGCTGGCCACACACACAAAAATAAATAAAGTTAAAAAATAAATAAATAAAATAAAATAAAATTTATAAAAAAAAAAAAAAAAGAAGCTGGGTGTAGTGGTACCCACCTGTGATCCCAGCAGTCGGGAGGCTAATGAAGGAGGGTGATCTCAAGTTCTAGACCAGCCTGGGCGGACTGAGCGCCTGCTTTGGCAAGTGCAGGGACCAGGGTTCGATCTCAATCCTGCATGCCGCACTAGCCCCACCACCAGGGCACGCTGAGCCAGCAAAGGAGTCTGAGAGTGGTGGCGCATGCCTGTAATCCCAGCACTGGGGAGGCTGAAAACAGGAGGATCACTACAAGTCCTAGCTGCATAGTGAGACCCTGTATCAAGTACATAAATGAGGGGGGAAAAATAAAAAAAGACCCACCTGGGCCATATAGTGAATTCAGTTTAGCCCAGTTAGTTTAACAATACCCTGCCTTAAAATACAGTAAAAACTAAAAAGGGCTGAAGGTCCAGCTCACTGCTTGCTGGCCTTAGTTCCCAGAATGGGGAAAGAGGGTGAAGGCCGTCATGATGACTGTAAAGAAAGAAAGAGACATAGGCATAAAGGTAGAGGCAGACAGTAGTACTGCGCAGCGGGGGCCATGATTGCCGGAGCGAAGTATGGGTTTCAGGCCTGCCTCCTCTGTTAGATTCCTAGCGGCAGCCTGGTGCCCACAGTTCTTTTCCAGTAGAGGAAGCGTGGCCCTTCCAGGAGCCGCCAGCTCACTCACTCATGCGCTGACCCGAAGGGCTGCGATGCGTGCACCCTTCCAGGGCGTGGCGACAGCATGACAGCAGCGTCTCCGTGCGTGCTGCTGTCGCAGTGGGGCTCAGCTGACAAATCCCGCGGCCTTCTGTATCCCAAGTGGCTCAGAGACAGGGTATGGAGACTCTAAAGAGTTGTCTGTGTTTTAGAACTACACATGCATGCACTATGGTCAAGTAGGTTTTTGTTTTTGTTTTTACAGTTATTATATATTAATTATTGAAAATCCTGGCCTTCCCCCCCCCCAAAAAAAAAAAAAAAAACAGGCCGCCTCAACGTACAGCAGCTCACAGGCCACCACCACTGGTGGTCACTTTAAGAGACCATTTTTTACATTGTAAAGAATTGTAGACAGGGCTGCCCAGATAGCTCAGCATATTTTCTCCTTTTTTTCCTTTTTGTATTTTAGGGAAGGGTCTATGGGGTGTTCAGGGTCTTACTACTCGATCAGACTTGTAGTAATTCTGTTTGCAGCCTCCCAAGTGCTGGGATTAGAGGTCTGCGCCACCCAATCTCAATTCCTGTCTCAGCATACCCCGGGGCTGGGGCTGGCACTCCAGGCCCGGGGATCAAACCGTTGGCCCCTGCACTTGCTTACAGGCGCTTTAATCACTGAGCTATTTTCAGCGCACCCTGGGGGTGGGGTCAGCACTGCAGCCATTTGTCCAGCTCTGTGCAGTGGATTGAAGTGCCTGCGTAGGCACACACAAGGACCAGGTTCGATCCCCAGTGTGCCATGCCAGCCCCCTCCAAAGAGTGTGCTAAGACTGGGCGTGGTGGTGCACACTTGTAATCCCAGCTCTTGGGAGGCTGAAAACAAGAGGATTATTACTAGTCGAACTATAGGCCCTATAGACTCTACTAAATTCAAAAAACAAAAACAATGTAGAATTTACACACAGGAAATGCATAAATCTTAAGTATACATTCTCTGAATTTCTCTAAAAGCATGTTTTGGAATGACCCTAAAGTCTACCGAGTAGAATGTTGGAGACATGTTTTGAAAATGTTTTTCTGTAGCTTCCCCATTCATCTTCTTGGGAGTATCTTTTGATATGCAGATTTTTAGTTTTTTAGACATGTTTTATAATTTCTTATGAATAACGTCCATGGCTTGTTTTTAAAAATCCTTTGTCCGCCAGCAGGTCAGGTCATTGAGATACTCTCTTTGGTTTTAGCTTTCAGGTTTCAGATGGTAATCAACTCACTGGGTTGATCCCTCAGTTCATGAGCGTGATGACTGGGTGTTCATGCCGCATGCATGAGATGTGCCTCCCTCAAACCTTGGTACGACGTGGGCACATTGCCCATCTGACGTGAAAAAGAAGCTCATTGGGTTAATTGCGTGCGTGGTATGAGATAGACTCGGAAATTTTGTTGCATGTGGATATCTTGTTTTGCAGCATCATTTATTTCCAGCACATCATAGATATGCACCACCACGCCTAGTGAACTCTTTTTAATTTAAAAAAAAAGAAAGAATGAATGAAAAAGAGTAGTTTTTAAAATGTATAGTATTAGGACAATTTTAGCCAGGCATGGTGGCACACACCTTGTAGCACTTAGCACAGAGGACCAGGGAGATAGCTTAGCAGAATAAGCGTGTGCCTCACAAGCACAAGGTCCTGAGTTTGATCCCTGGTACCAAAAAGAAACACCCCAGTACTCAGGAGGCTGAGTAGGGAGGATTACTGCCAGTTCAAGACCAGCATGGGCTACATAGTGAATTCAAGGCCTATCTGAACTATAGAGTGAGAGACCTGGTCTCAAAAGTTAAGAACATTTTTAGACTATAATAATGAAAATGCTAAATATCACAGTTTGATTTTTGGTGATGAAGTCTCTAATTTTATGCCTAGCATTTTTAGGGTTGAGGGGGTTGGGGTGAATTGGGGTTTTTTTGGTTTTTGGACACAGGTTGCTATGTAGCCCAGGCTGGCCTTAAAAATCACAAAGATCTTCCTGCCTCAGCCTCCTGAGTGCTGGAATGACAGGTATATACCTCCACGCCCAGTGATCTAGTGCTCTTTCTAAAGATTAAAACTGATCTTTGAAGATAAAGGTGTGTAGGAAGCTGTCCTGGGCTTACGAAGGAGGTCTGACGCCCAGCACCAACAAATTGAGTACACTGTACTGGGAAAGCTACAAGGCAAGTCCCGTGTCTCCAGTGAGCCATGTTGGTCCCTGCCGCCCTAGGGTCACAGCAGAAGTGAAGCACAATGCCAGCAGCACCGTGGTGTGCAGGGTGCAGGGAGAGTGGAACAGCGTGCTGGAGTTCACCTATAGCAATGGCGAGACCAAGTGCGTGGACCTGAGCAAGCTGGCCGTGACGAGGAAGAGAGTGCGGCCCCTGGAGAAGCAGGACCCCTTCGAGTCCAGGTAAGGAAGCGGCCTCGCTGGCCCCGGCCTCTGGGAGGCAGCTGTGGTCTGGCTGGGCCTCCCCTGATTCCTGAGCGCAGACAGGCTGTTGGAAGGGGCCTTCTACCTGCTGCTCGCAGCCCCTGCAGCTGGGGGGGCGGTGCTCGGGCTTGTGTTCTAAATGGCAGCGCGTCTGCAGCCAGTAGTCCAGGGAGCCCGAGGGGCCACAGTGCACAGCACAGGTCACACACGCCGAGACCTCAGGGCCCGCTAGGAACATTGACTGTAATAATAATCAGAGACGCAAGCTCAGTAGTCAAGCACAGCAGCGTTTGAAAGGACACCTGTCAGGTGTGAGCGAGAAGGCCTCTCCTTGCAGGGGCGGGGTCCAGGGTCAGGCAGAAGAACCACAGTGCTTCCCTGACAGGTGCAAGGTCCTGAGTTCCATTTCTGGTAAACCCCCCCCAAAAAAAAGCTGGTTATTTAATCTGTAAATAATCTGTGAAAAGGCTGGGGAAATGGCTCAGTGGAATAAGCACTTCCCTGGCAATTGCAAGGGCCTGAGTTCAATCCCTGGTTCCACACAAAAAAAAAAGTTCTTTTTTTTTTTAAATAATCTGTGGAAGTTTAATCAGCGCATAGCTCAGAGTACTACCTTGTTTTTTTTGCTTGTGTAGGGCATGCAGAGAGCGCCTCACATCTTTCCTTATATCAGAAACATTTTCTCCCCTCATCAGTGTGCCTAAGGGTCTGGTCTGTTTGGTAACTTTCAGTAAGTTTTTAGTAACTTTACCCAAGATCCAGCTTTTGAGTCTGCTCGTTTTTGTCTTTTTCTGTTTTCTCTTTCACTGATTTCTGATTCATTTTTATTGCCTACTTTGTCCATCATTTCTTGTTTTCTTACAGTTACTCAAAGAGGAAGTTTAGGTCAAGGCTCAGAAAATGTTTCTTGTCCAGACAGGGTAAATATTCGTGAGATGTCTGCATGGTCTGGCCACCCCCTCCCCGATACTGCAACAGGAGGCCGAGCCCAGTCACCAGCTGGGTGGCCCTGGCTGCGGGCAGCGGGAGACCCTGCTTCCACCATTGTTTTTCCTTCTCTCCTGAATGTTTAATGCTGTACATTTCCTCTAAGATCTCTTTATTTGTGCCACTCAGTTTGTTTACTCGTTGGTTCCTTCCTGACTCAGGGTGTCTCTGTAGTTCAGGATGGCCTTGAACCCACTAATTACCCAGACTGGCTTTGAGCTGGAGGGGATCCTCCTGCCTGTGCCTCATGCGTGCTGGGATTACAGGCATGTGCCCCGTGGCTGGGCTGTTTTTCATTTTGGTGTGGTAGGATTGTCAGTGGGTATAGGGATGTTAGTTTCGGTGTTGTATCTGAGAGATCCACAGTCTGCGGCGTTCTCCTGGCTCCCCGTAGGGGTCACAGCCCTCACTCTTAGTCCGGGGCCGGGCTGAGTTCACTTCTGTGACTGGTGCTGTACGAAGGTCTAAGGTCATCTTTTGGGGGTGTGTATTCCCAGGTGTTCCACTGCCTTTGTACTACACAGCTTGGATGCCTAGTGGTCCCCGTCTCAGCCTCCCTGGTGCTGGGAGTAAGGCATGTGCCACCACACCCCTTTTCTGGTAGCTGGCATGGCGTGCAGTACCAGGGATCAGACCCTGGTCCTTGCATTTGCCAAGCAGGCGCTTAGACCACCAAGTTATCTCCCCAGCCCTCCATCTGCTTTGTTGAAAAGATTCTTCTTGGGCCGGGGAGATGGCTCAGTAGAATAAGCGCTTTCCTGGCAAGCACAAGGGCCTGAGTTCAATCCCGGTTCCACCAAAAAAAAAAAAAAAAAAAAAAAGAAAGGATTCTTCTTTACCCCAAACACTGCCCTGGAACTTTTCTTTGACTGAGGTCAGCGCCTCCCTCGCTGCTGAAGGCTCCTAATGTTTCGGTTTGGCTTTCCGCAGCCTCAGGGTCTGAACCCAAGGCTCCAACAATGCCAGGCAAGCATGCACTGAGCCATAGCCTCAGCCCCCTTCATTTTTTGAGACAGACATTTTTTGTTGTCCATATTGTCCTCAAACCAGCAATCCTCCTGCCTCAGCCTCCCGAGCAGCAGGGGCTGCAGCCCTGCCCACATTAAATTTCATTAAGTTTTGTCTGGTTCCCTGGTTGAGATGGAAAAGTGAATCCAGTCTCCATTATTCCATCAGGCCAAACACACAGGTCGGCTCTATAATTTCAACTTTTTGATAACTTCCTATTTGATTTATTTATTAATTTCTAAGTCTCCCATAAATGAAAATGTTGTTTTTATATCTTGGGGAGGGGCCGGGGAGATGTCTCAGTGGAATAAGCGCTTCCCTGGCAAGCACAAGGACCTGAGTTCAATCCCTGGTTCCACAAAAAAAAAAAAAAGAAAAGAAAAAAATCTTGGGGAGCTCTGTGTTATTTTCAGCTGAAGAATTGGAAGCCGAAGCAGCAGGTGTGGCCCTCCAAGGGCCTGGCGTGGGTGCCTTAGGATCACAGTGTGACACTGGACCCCATGCTGGTGGGGCATTCCCAGAAGTCACTGCGGGGTGGAACCCCCATGCCTGTGAACAAATGCGGCTAAGGTCTGCGGTTGCGGTTGTGGTTGTGGTTGCAGGCGCCTGTGGAAGAGCGTGACAGAGGCGCTGAGCCGGGCGGAGATGGACCTGGCCACGGAGCACAAGCGAGTGCTAGAGGAGCGGCAGCGGGCCGAGGAGCGGCTACGCGCAGAGTCGGGCACGCCCTGGAGCACACGCTACTTCTCCAAGGAGGTATGTGGCTGTGGTCATGGGCTTGGTGACCCAAAGGGGCCACTGAGGAAAGCAATGTAATTTTTTTTTTAATTTTTTTTATTTTTTGTATTTTAGGGAGTGTTGAAGGTCTCACTATGAGATTGGATTTGTAGTGATCCGCCTGTTTACAGCCTCCCATAGCAGCAGGGGTAGGACCACACCCAGTCTCAATCCCTGTCTCAGCATACCCCGGGACAGGGCTGCCCCAGAAGGCCCAGGGATCGAACCCCCAGCCCCTATGCCTGCTTGCAGGTGCTTTAATCTGCTGAGTTATTTGGCCAGCCCTCAGCAATATAATTTTTGAATTTAACTTTTCTTCAGATAGAGTTTCCCTGAGTTGCTCAGGCTGGCCGAATAATCCTCCTGCCTCAGCCTCCTGAGTAACTGAAATTACAGGTGTGTACCACCATGCCCAGCTATAAAAATTATTCATAAACAACAAACAAATGTGGCTAGGGGTGTAACTCTGGAGTAGAGCAATTGCCTGGTACACAGAGGCCCTGGGTTTCACCCCCAAAGAAGAGGGGCTGAGGCGCAGACCTGCCCGTCACCCTGTCACCCTGTTACCCTGTTACCCTGTGGGTGCTTCCACCCTGGTGCCTGCACTCACTCAGCTTGTCCTGTCTTTAGTGCAGACCCTGCCCCCGTCCTTGCCCAGTCTGCTGACTCATAGCAACTAGGGAGCAGCAGGAAAAGCCCACGGGGCCAGTGCTTCAGCCTGCAGGTGCCAGGGTGCAGTGAGGCTGTGGTGGCCATGTGGCCTATGGCTCCAGGCTGATGCTGAAGGGCTGGGAACTGTGTCTGCGGGCACAGCGTTAGAGGTGCCTGCCCCTCGCCCCCAAGCCAGGCCTTCACCCAGCCCAGCTCATTCATTGCGTATCCAGTATCCTAAGCGTGGGGCTTTACTTTTTCCAGAAACTTGTAGGTACAAGTAGATTTCCATTTCAGTGGTAGTGTCATTTCTAAAGGGGGTGTGTGGGGTGTGTGTGTGTGTGTGTGTGTGTGTGTGTGTATGTTTTACTGGGGATTGAACCCAGAGCCTTTGCAGGAGTTGCATCCCTAGCCCTTTTCTTTTTAGACAAGGTCACTGTAAATTGCCCAGGCTGGTCTCAAATTTCAGGCCTTCAGGGACTGGGGAGATAGCACAGCTGTCTAAGCACCTGCCTGGCAAGCACAGGGACCCAAGTTCAGTCTTCAGTACTGAATGATGCCAGCCCTGGAATTGCGTAGCAAGACCCTGTAATAAGTAAATCAATAATTTTTTTTTTTTTTAATTGCAGGGGCTGGGGAGATGGCTTAGTAGAATAAGCGCTTCCCTGGCAAGTGCAAGGGTCTGAGTTCAATCCCCGGTTCCACAAAAAATGAAAAATTAAATAAATAAATAAATAAGTAATAAAAAATTGCAGCCTCCCACCATGGTGAGATTCCCTACCTGACTTAGTTTTGGTTTCTGGTTTAGGAGCTATCCGAGGAGTATTTCCTTAGTTTGTGTCTCCCTCATTGCAGGGAGATGGCTGGGTTTATCACAAGCCCCTTTGGAAGGTCCTTGCAGCCACGCAGCCAGCAGAGTGACGCTCCTTTCCGTGAGCCGATGTGGCTCTTCCTTCCGTTCACACCCTACCAGAGTCGCCACACTGCGTGGGCCGACCCACTGCTGACCTCGAATGTACTTCTCGGGCGCCGTCATCCACAGCAAGACCAAAGTGTCACCATCCTGTGACACAGCAATATCTCAGCCACTAGAGACCCACCTTCTCCGGCCCTGCCCCTGCCACCAGGGCGGCCACGGAGACAGCAAGAGCGCATAACTCGGCTCTTGTGAACTGTGAGGTCGCTCGGTCTGTGTTCTCCTCTCTGTCCATCACTGACTACTCACTGCTCCTGGAAACCAGTGCGAGTGGAGGAAGCAGCTGGGTGGGTCAGCCCTGACCTGCCCTCCATGCCCAGTGGCAGAGCCTGGTGACAGGCGTGACCCCGTGCCCAGCCAGGCGCCACCATCACCGCCTCCCTGGGGCTCTCGGCGGTGTTCCTGCAGTGATCAGAACCAAACCATGGAGTCTTTTCTTCTGAGCATTTTCATATACTTGAAAAGAGCATTGACTTGAAAAATTTCAGAACATTTTTCAATACCTAGTTTTATTAAATATTACACTTGAGACAATTTTTTTAAATGTGTTCATATCAATATAATGAGATTTTGGCCTTTCTCAAGAACTAAGGCATTCAAGAAAATAGCTAATATTGAAAAGCGAGGCTGTTGCTGGTTCCCGCCACCTCCTCACTGGTGGGTGTCAGGCAGTATTCCATGCGCCAGGCGCGCTGGCTTTCTCTTCCCGCTGCTCCCTCAAGAGGGGACACAAATGACCATTCGTGTTTATCGGTAACTCACCTATGCCTGTGACCGGTGCATGTGGGTAAGTTGTGATTTCTTGTCCAAGAATCCTAAACAGTGAAGAAAAGTGTCTGATAGAAAGCTTTGAGGAGGGGGCCCAGCCCTAGCTCAGTGCTTTAAGTGGCTGCTTCCACAATGCTGGCAGTCTCAGTTTGCTGTAGTTCAATCCCCACAACACTCCAGTCATGCAAAAGTGCCCTGAAGGCATTCAAGGAGCAAAACCCTGAAAAAAAAAAAAAAAAAAAAGAGGAAGTCGTATTCAGGTACAAATCTTTTTTAATCAGTATTTCATTGAGGCTGAAGAATTGTTGGCAATTAAGAATAGTGCCGATTACAGTCTCAGCATTCGTTCACATTTCTCGAGTGCCCGTGGACGGTGCTGTCCCCTCGTCCCCGCAAGCGACCTGACTTCCAGGAGTGGTGCCTTACACGTCCCTCCCCTCCCCGTGGTCTTCCACCGGTGTGTCATGTGTCCCCGTCCCTGCTGGCCAGGAGGGAGCTGCGGGTGTCGTGCTCAGTGCCGGGGTCGACTCGTCTGTCTGAGGGCTTCGGAGACAGGACAGAACAATACTTGTTTTCAACCAATTGTAAATTATAAGAAAAGTGGTTCGTGTACAACCATTTTAATGATTTCTTTTGCGTTTTTGCTGTGAAATGCACTGAAAAATATCTCAAAATGAGCTATGGTTCATGTGTTGGGAAAATTGAGAAATAATAAAACTAGAGAACAGTATTGCCTGTGTTTGTGAATGGTGAGAAAGAGGAAGCGGTGCTCGGTGGGGCTGGTGTCACCTGTCAAAGAACTCTGCTTTTCTCTTTCAGTTCCTGCCTCCAGGAATCAGCAGCAGGAGAGGACATTTAATAAGTTTTTGAAAATGAAAATGTTTAATGTTTGTGTCTCAGTTACTTTTCTCTCATTGCTGGGATAAAATACCTGACACCCAGAATTAAGGAAAGGCTTGTTCAGTTCCAAGTCGGAGGAGGCTTCAGTCTATCCTCGGCTCGCTCCCACGCTCTGGGTGTGCCCGAGTGAGGTGAAGCTGAGCCCCGAGATCTCTGCCGCGCTGCGCCAGGCCCCCTGGGGCCCAGGATCCCTTTGCATTGGTGACTCCTTTCGAGATTTGCTGAGAGCCAGGCAACGTGCATGCCTGTAACCCTGGCCACTTGGACTCTGAGTTAGGAGTGTGGATTTGAGGCCAGGCTTGGCAGTTTAGTGAGATCCGATCCCAAAACACAGCAAGGGCTGGTAGAAGCTGAGAAGTGTAGCACCCCTGCGTCTGGCCCAGAGGATGGGGTTTTTTTGTTTTGTTTTTGTTTTTTGGCGGAACCGGGGATTGAACTCAGGCTCTTGTGCTTCAAAAGATGTTTTTGAAATAGGAATTTTAAGTTATTTTTTAAAACGGAGTCCAACTGTATAGCCCAGGCTGGCCTCAGATCCTCCTGCCTCACCCTCCAGAGCTCTGGACTGTAGGTATACACCACCGTACCTGCATTCAAGATTTTAAATTATGAAAAGCTACATTTGTGAAGAAATAAAGTGTCTCCGGGCTGGTGAGATGGCTCAGTGGTCTAAAGCACCTACTTAGAACAAGCTTAGCAAAGCACAGGGACCACGGTTCAATCCCCAGCACCACATGCCTGCCAGCCCCGCCCCCTGGTGGGCTGAGCTGGCCACACACACACACACACACATATAAATAAAAATTTAAAAAATTTAAAAAAAAAAAAAGAAATAAAGTGTCTCCACTTGGGGGACCAAGCTCTTTGTAGGCAGTGATTGCACGTTCTTCCCATGCCGGTCTGGGCGTGACAGCGTCCTCCAGAGGCTGCAGCTTGGCCGTGGCTCTGGTTGTCCGTCCACACCTCACTACGACGGAGGCCTCTCTTTTGGGCCAGAGTTACACTGTTTGGCTGGTGGTTTATTTCTTGGGTTCCTAAGGATTGAACTTGGAGCCACATGTTTGCCAGGCAAGTGCTGTACCCCTGAGTGACATCCTGGCCATTGGTAAGAATTTGTTTTGAAACAGGATTTACCTGAGTTGCCCAGCCTGCCTCGAGCCTGTAACCCTCCTGCTTCAGCCTGCAGAGTAGCTGGGAATGTAAGTATGAGCCACTGTGCCCAGTGACTATGGAATTTATTAGGCCATGCATCGTGCACTCTGGGTAAAATACAAGCACCACGGGGCACGTGACAAAGTCCATGACGACAAGGACAAGATTCCAAGGAAGGTGACATCTGCCTTCCATACACAAGAGCTGAAAGGCAAAGTGCAAACCTCCAGTTTTGCCTGGAATTTTACGCAACGAAACAGTGAAGCTCAGGGGAACAATGTTCTGACCCCAGCGCTTTGTCTGGGGCTGCTAATGTCATGCGGTGGGGAGTCCTGAAACTCCGGCCAAGAAACCCAGAAAAATCACAGCTGGTGGCTGAACAGCTGTGTGTTTCTAGTGGTTTTATTTTCCTTTGCTCTAGGATTTGTGGCTACGCTCTTAGGATCTTGTTCCAGGGGCTTCGCTGTATCTCTCTTTTGCTTGAGGAGAGCCACTGCCCCGTCGGTGAGGGACACGGGGCACTGGACTTGGTTTCTTTTTAGCCGAGCTGCCTGTGCACTGTAGCGAATTTGGCAGTGGGGCTGTGAGGCCAGCACTACAATCCCAGCTCCCCCCAGGAGGCTGAGGCAGGAGGACCCCCTTGGGCGCAAGATTTTATGTCAGGCTGGGCAAAATAAGAGGCGCCTGCCCTTAAGTCCACATATCCACATATGTGTGTGTACACACGCAGACGCACAAGTGAACAGGCAGCAAATGAATATAAATATAAAAGGTTGAGGCGGTGGGGTGGGCACAGGGCCCGTGGAGCACAGGGTGGGTTCCCACCCTAGCACGAGAACCAGAACAAACAGAAAAAACAACATGCAAAATAATTCCATCCTGCCTGACGTGCAGAGTACAGCACCTGTCCAGCCGCCCCTGAAACCCACCTATTCCGGAGACAGCGACAGTGGGTCACAAGTTGAGGCCATCCTGGGTAGCTGAATCACCCTGTTACCAAAATAAAAAACGGGCCATAATAATGAGGTCCGGGGAAGGCAGGTCCGTGGCAGAGGCCTGGGCCATCCCCAGGCAGCAGTAAGTGGGTGGCTGTCGCATGAACAAAGAGATGGACAACAGATGAAGGAAATGAGCGGTGACAACCAACCGCCGGGTCGGGCTCAGGGCCCTGGGTTCCATACCCTGGAGGGGAAGGGCCGGCCCCGCCAGCCTCGGTGCACACCTGCTACCCGGCTACTTTGGAGGCTACAAGGAGAATCAAATGTTGGAGGCCAGGCTGAGTAAACTTAGGGAGACCCTGACTCAATAAAATCAGTTGTGGTTTTCACTTCCCTGTCCAATCCCAGGACTGGGAGGCTGAGGCAGGAAGATGGCAAGTTCGAGCCCAGACTGGGCAAGTCAGCGACTAAACACCCTGGCCGCAGCTCCGGAGGAAGCATCTGGTTCAACCCCCAGTGGCACAGGGCTGGGTGCTGGAGTGTGGCTCAGGGCTCTCTGGGCTCAGTCTCCAAGTAGGACAAAACAGAACAAACCCAAATACCTCCAAAATTGGAATTTAAGACAAGATCGGGTGCGTTCAGTATGGTATGACCATAGACAAAAATAAGAATTTAAGGAAAAGAAAAAAAAAAAAGAGGAAAGGAGAAAGGGAGGGCAGCAAGAGAGAAAAGAAAGTAACAGCTTGTCCAAAGCACCACCCAAAATTACATCCAAATGAAAAACTGCCTAAGCAGCTGTGGGGTGGTGGCTGCTGGCCGGGAGAGCCCAGCTAGGAAGGCGAGGGCTGCCCTGACTCAGCCTCCAGAGCCACGGCCACACGCCCACATGCTGTCTGCAGGCCCACCTGAAGAGCCTGCCACAGAGGTGCGGCAGAGCAAGCTTTCCGACTCCAGCTGTAGGACAGCTCATGGGATAACAGGGTGACCTCTAGTCTTTAACCTACTGGTGGCTGAGGAAGCCACTGCCTTTGCCTTGTGTTCACACCTGACTTCTTGTTGTTGCTATTTTCTGAGGCAGTCTCTCTATGCTAGGTGGCCAGGCTGGCCTTGGACTCCCTGGGATCCTCCTGCCTCAGCCTCCTGAGTGCCGTGCACACAAGCATGTGTGCCTCATCCAGCAGGGCTGACGTTGAATAGGTCAAAGTCAGGGTGCCAATCTGCTACCAGGGAAACCGAGAAGGACCTCGTGGCGCAACGGTAGCGCGTCTGACTCCAAGGAAACCCAGACCAAGGAGCAGGCCCTCTCCACCACTAGCACCCCCAATGTGCATCATATGCTGGGTGAGGGGTGGCTCCCTTTCCCACTGCTCTCTTCTCCCAGGCCGAAGGGCTTTCTGCACTAAAGCCCAGGGGACCTAGAGCAGGTGTGGCCCACACCAGGACTGGACAGGCAGCTGTGGAGCAAGTAGGGGCCTGGCTGGCCAAGGCCAGGTGAGCGCCTTTGGTGCTGCCCGATTGTGACCAGATGGTGACCTAGAGATGTTCTCTCTGACCCCACACAGGGCAGCTTTGCCCCTACCCCTCCACCCCCCACCAGACACAGCCCTAAGCACGGTCACCATGGCAACAGCACATCATCACTAGGGCAAAACTGGTCTCCTGATGGTCCAGACCCACTCTTTGTCCCTGGGAGTGGGTAAACAGCCCACACTTGGCGACTTGCCTCAGAGAGATAAGAGGAGGATCAAAAGGTGGCATCACTGTGACCGCTTGGTTGCCACAAGCAGCTTCTCCTGTACCGGGTTTGAATTGACAGAGACCAAGACCAGAACAGATTGGAATTCGGTGAGCCTTTATCGGCCAGTCCAGTGGCTGAGCAGGCTGGGAGGCACGCGCCACGCCAAAACAGAGCGACGCTCAGTCTTCTGTAGCAAGCCTTGTTGACACAGCTGTAAGCTGCTTATGACTAGGAGACCGTCACAGTGTTTAGCGATAAGCGGAACTTGCCCAGATGGGCCTGTTACAAGCTATGGTTAGGGTGGAAGCACGTCAGCTGTGTGCAGCACCAGCAGGCTGAAGGATCGGCACTTGAGCCGGGAAGCGATGCTCAAAGAGATGGAGGGCCTGCCCGCTTTGCCCAGCAGGAAAATAACAAGAGCCACATTGGTTTTCAGAGTAGATAACCATTTTGGTGAGGACACGAGGTTCCTCCTAGTCATTTCCCACAGTTATGGTCCACAATTCAGTTACTCCATTACATCTCCCTGTGGAGACTTTTCTCCTGCTTAAACCCCAAAAGGATTGGGAGGTGTCTGTACCCTACTGAAAACCAGGATCAGGCCGGCCAAGTAGCTCAGTGGATTAAAGCACCTGCAAACAGGCACAGGGGCCAGGGGGTTGGTCCCCACCCCCAGGGCGACTGAGCTGGCAATGGAGCCTGGGTTTAGGGCCCCGCGCACCTGTAATCCCAGCTCTTGGAGTCTGTAGAACAGGCAGCTAGCACTATGCGTCCGATCTAGTAGTGAGGCTGGGGAGATAGATCAGTAGAATAAGCACTTGTCTGGCAAGCACAAGAGCCTGAGCTCAATCCCCCATTCTGGAAAAAAAAAACAACGGGCCGGGGAGATGGCTCAGTGGAATAAGCGCTTCCCAGGCAAGCTCAAGGGCCTGAGTTCAATCTCCACTTCTGGAAAAAATATATATATATATATTTGGGCCGGGGAGATGGCTCAGTAGAATAAGCGCTTCCCAGGCAAGCACAAGGGCCTGAGTTCAGTTCCTGGTTCCGCAAAAAAAAAAAAAAAATTAAAAAAATTTAAAGAAAACGGTCTAGTAGTGAGACCCTGAACACCCTGTAGATCCTTCCCTAAAATACAAAAAAAAAAAAAAAACGGGCTCGCGGGTATTTCTGGCTTCTGCTCCCCAGGCAGGTCCTTCCTCCCTGTGCCACCTGGGACACCTGTGTGAGGGCACTCCACGTCAGGCACTGTCCCCAGAGGGTCGCACCAGAAGAGTACTGTTTCAAGACCAGCAGACCAGGGGCTGGTGAGATGGCTCAGTGGTCTAAAGCACCTACTTAGAACAAGCTTAGCAAAGCACAGGGACCGCGCGGTTCAATCCCCCAGCAAGCACCACATGTCAGCCAGCCCCGCCCCCTGGTGGGCTGAGCTGGCCACACACACACACACAAATAAATTTTTTTTAAAAAATAAAATTAAAAAAAAAAAAGACCAGCAGACCTCATTTTGTCCCATTCTGGAGAAGAGGCAGGGGGGCTCCCCTTCTTCCGCACCCCACAAATGGGAGGAGGCAGCTTCTGGCGACCTTAGTCATACTTACTGGCTCCTTCGAGCCTCTCCTTATGACTTTCTTGTTTTGTTTTGAGACAGTCTCATCATGTAGTCCAGGCTGGCCTCGATCCCGGGACCCCTGCCTGGTGGCTCCGCGTGTCGGCTCGTGCACCCGAGAGCCCCGGGCCTCCCTGGCTGGGAGTGCAGCCGCTGCAGCACGCGTTCCCACTTGGTTCTGAGCCCAGAGCGCGGGGCAGGAGCGCACCCTCACCGCCCGCGTCACCTCCCCTCCGCGAGGCTCTGAACAGCGGGTGGCCTGGCCTAGCACTTCCCAGGCAGCGGCGAGGCGCCCTGGGGCCCGGCGGGAGGGGACGGCCAGCTGCCCAGGAGAGGGGAGCGGAGGAAGAGAGGGGCCTCGGCTCGCCTGCAGCCCGCCTTTGCGCCCCAGCCCGGGCGGACGCTATTCCGAAGTGGGACCAGCCTGCGACCTCCCCCCGCGCCTCCCGGCTCTGCGGGTGCGCGCCAGGCAGGCTCCCGGTCCACGGCGGTCCCCAGAGCTCGGGTGAGGTCCGGGAGGGGCTCGGGCCCTGCGGGAAGCGAAAAGGAGACGGCGAGCGCACGACCCACCGGCCCAGCCCGGGAGGCGACACCCCTGGGACCAGCAGGGTCGAAAGAGACGAGGCCACCGCCGGCACCTCCTAAATTCCAGCCCCCCCCCCCCCCAGTCCCTAAGCAGGAACCCGCCTGCACGCAGTAGGGCTCGGCTTGGGGGTGACGATCTCCGTGGCCAGCGGGGCTGGGGTGGCCGGGGCAGGCTTCCTTTCCAGTCTCCTGGCTTCGCTCAGTGTCCCCCGCCCTCGTCTCAGGTGGGGCTGGCACCGCCCCTGCCCCACGTCCTAACTTTTGACCCCAGGTCCAGCCTGCGCAGTCCGCAGCAGGGGGCCGCACAGGCAGGCGACCCGGACGGGGGACTCGCCCCAAGACTCTGACCGCAGGCGCAGCGTGGGCGCGGGGGCCAGCAGGGGACGCTGCGGACAGGCGGCCTCCCGACCTCTGCGTTCCGGGGCGGGCGCTGGGGACCCCGGGAATGGGCGGGGGTAGCGCCACTATCACTGGGCCTCGGAGTGACCGGCCTGCCTGACACGGAGTGGGCTCGGGATTCCCGCCCGGCAGTGGCACCAGGAGGGGAGGGACTCCACGGCGACGTAAATAGGGGCGCAGGAGCCGCCGCCTAGCTATGGGACCCTCAGGAGACCTGGTGGGGGACACGACCAGAGACGCTGTGGGGGCTCCAGCCCAGGGCCTTCGTGCTGCGCTAATGTGAGAAGGGTGGTAGCGGGTGGGGAAAAGAATTTCCCCGCAGCTAAGGAATAGGGAGAGTGAGGAGTGTATTGACCTGCTTAGGAGAGCAGCGATTCCCGGTGGGAGGCTGAGGCAGGAGAGTCGCTGTGAGTTCAAGGCCAGCCTGGACTACATAGTGATAGCCTATCTCTAAAAACGAAACAAGCCGGGACTCGTGGCACACTCCTGTATCCAGTTCTCAGGAGGCTGAGGCAGGAGAATCGCTGCCAGTTCGAAGCCAGCCTGGGCCACAAAGTGAGCTCAAGACCAGCCTGAGTGGCCTAGCAAGACCTTGTCTCAAAAAGACAAAAAATAAATAAAAATAACAAGGATGAGCAGTGGGTCAGCCCAAGAAAGGATTGCACCTTTCGGGGTGAAAAGGCTGAGATTTCAGGTCCAATTTTAAGGTGAGGAGGGGTCTCATAGTGACATGCAGGGCCGCTGTCTCCAGGTCATGCTGGCTCCAGTGTCACCGTGCAGCCAGGTGCTGTGCCCTCAGGGGTGAAGTTAACTACAAGCATTCTGGTAGGTGACCAGGGGACCAGCACCATGTGCGTGTTGGAAGGGGCCCCTCACACCACCTGGGGCTGCAGGAGAAAAGGGCGTTGAAGGCGGGGCAGGAGGGCAGGTCCCTGTGATGTCATCGTTCTGGGGTGCAGCCCCCCAGCAGATGTTACTGCACTGCTGCAGATGCCAGCCCTGCTTTGTGGCCTTAGAGGACCAGGGACAGTAATTGTGATTCCTGAACAACACTTTTTTGTTTTGGTTTTGGTTTTCTTTTTTGAAACAGAATCTCCTTAAATACTTCAGGCTGACTTTAAACTTACTATGTAACCCAGGCTGGTTCCCTGTGATCCTCCTGCCTCAGCCTCCCCAGAGCTAGAATTGGGGCATGTTCTACTGTACTCAGTTTTCTGTTTGTTTTTAATTTTTTGAGACAGAGTCCCTAAATCATTGAATTGCCCAGGCTGGCTGGAATAATTAAAAGTCCTCCCGCCTCAGCCTCCCAGAGTGCTGAGCTCTAAGCAGGCACCTCCAGCGGCCTGGCTTACTCTGGTATCTTGAGCACCAAGGTTGGTCTGCCGGGTGCCCTTACTCCCAGGGTAAAGGAGCAGGCCAAGAAAGAAGAGGGGGACCCAGGCAGGACTGCACTGGCAAGAAGCGGACACCCCCGCCCGGAGACCCCAAGGGACCTTGAGCAGCCACAGGACACGGACCCCTCAGCCTCGCCCAGCGGTTGCCGCTATCCTGCAAGTCACAGGAGTCCTGCTTGGCCACCTCCTGCAGCCACCCCCACGCCTACATTGGTCAGGACCCGGACACCCATGGGAACTCCAGCTTCTCTTCTGTGGCCCTGCAGTGCTGCTCCAGGAGGGTGACACGAGCCAGGTGACCCCGCCAGGCCTAGGCCCCACCTGCCTTCCCTACCCTCCCACCCCTGACCACTGAGTCAGGACGACCACTCCCCACCCCAATACCAGTTCGGGGGATGAAGCCTTGAGCTACATCCTCACCCTTTTTTCTTGTTCTTAGTTTTGAGATAGGGCCTCTCTAAACCACCAAACTGTCCTGGCTGCTCTCGGCCTTGTGACCTTCCTCCCTCAGCCTCCCCAGTCTTGAGATGACAGG